CGATGCGGTCGTGGGCCCGCCCCTGACCCCGAGCGTCGCCCGCATCCTCAGCGAGGCGGGCGTCTACTTTGCAGTCGCCATCGTCACGGACAGTGAGTCGCATGATGCTGAGCTATGGGTCTACAGAAAGAGCTAACACAAAGCCAGTCATGCCCGCAGACTACCGCATCCACGACCTCGCCCTTGAAGCCGCGTGGGCCGCCAAGTACGCCAACCTTGGCGACAAGGAAGCCATCCGCCTCGTGTCCGGCAACGTCGAGGACATTCTCGGCCTGCCCAAGAGCAGCGACATTGTGGTGTGGGAGGGCAGCCCGCTCGAGTTTGGCGGCACCGTCGCCCTCAGCTTCGAGGTGGACCAGAATGGCGACCTCGAAGTTGCCGCTTGCTGGCCGCACGAGGATGACCGGTAGAGAGGGGTATGACGATGCCGTCTGCCGATGAGTAGAGAGGCACGGTCCCGGTGGGGGTCGGGCTGGATTACTCGTTGAATCTGTCTCGGGTTGGGTGCTCATATGACTGCGCAAAGTAAGCAGCTGATATGGTGGCGGATGTTTCTTTCCATACGATACGCTTCGGGACAAAATGTATATCTAGATAGTGTATACTAAACTACATTCACAGCTTACTGGATCGTCAAGTGAGGGGCAGCGTCGCGCATATACAAGCTATGCGAAGGGCCATGCCACATAGCTCGGTTTTCAACATGTGAAGTTGTCAGATACAAACTACGCGGCACGTCTGGAGTCTGTCACCATAAACACGACTATCCGGAGACCAAAGCCACAGTGTCACGGGCCAGAACATGACAGACTCGTCTCTGCAAAGCGATTCGTTCCCGGACCAAGACACTCCCGAGGGACACAACAACTCAAGGCTTCAACCTGTATCCACCAGACGGATAAAGTCTTGCATCGGGACAACCTTTCCCGCGAGATTGGGCAACGCTGACACTTGCGCAACCCCTCCAAGCTTCTACGCAGCTACCCGTCGATACCAGGTATCCCCGCCGGACTGTGACTGGCAGCCCTTGCCCCGACGCAAGCCCTTATCTTCGGAGGCCGGGAACGCGGCACATGGCCAAACAGGCGCGCACGTACAAGCTTGCTCGCAAGATGCACGCGGGGGGAAGGGATTGCCAAGGGAGGCAAACAATGGAGCTAGGCGATTGATGGTGACGTGCTAGTGAGGCCGCACACGCAGGGACGGGAGCAGATGCGATGGCTGATTTCACAAAGGGGCGTCGGCCTCGGAAGGCGATTTGAGAGAAATCCCTCACAAGAGGGTTGGACACGGGACGGGTGTAATTCCGTCATCGTTCCGGGGAACAGCAAGCCACGTTGATCTTTTCGGCTGTGCTTGCCTGAGAGCTCGGGTCAGTGATGGAGAGGCGACACGTTGCCAGAGATGAGATGGCACCGTCTGGCCTTGGTTCGGCTCGGGATGGTGCGGCGCCGTCGATCCGTCCCTGCGGTGCAGACGGGGGCAGACTGACACTTTGACTAGCAAGGACCATCGCAACTTCCAATAGGAATAAGAAAGCTTGGAGTGCATGACAAACTGCCGGTCGCCGAGAGGTGCGTTGCAAATTGCAACTAGAACGCACAATGAGTAAACTCGCTAAGCATGCCGCGTTAATGGCGCACGCAGATATGCCAGTGATGGCCTCGCTGCCTTGATTTCTTTCTAGCCACGGCGTCGAGAGACAACTTGTTTCATCCTCAATGTGCCCAGTAGCGGCTTCTGCCTCACGTTTGCTGATTGTCTAATTGGGCGGACCGCCATTGGGGACCGGGCGTTTTGGAAGCGCGCGCCAGCCGATTTCCCGCCAAACGGCGGCTCAGGGGGGACTCCCAGGGCGCAAAGGGAGAGAGAGCCCCTCTGCCCAGGAAAAAGAGCTTGTTGCAATATGGACGATTATGTCAAGAGAATTCGTATCGCCAGGCGCGACCGTCAGTCATTTCGCCTGTTTCCTTGGGACTTACTCGTAACCTGGTTTTTCACCTCTTGGCACTTTGAGACCCCGACGAGAGCCACCGTGGCGCGGTACCACCCCATGCAAACGTTGTAAACCCAGGGTTAGTCAACTTGGTAGTAAGCGGGCATCGTTCAATCTGGAGATGAGAGGCGGTGTTGAAGATGGTGGACTTGTCGGTGAGCCCTTGCCCAGACAAGGCCGTTGTCATTCCAAGATGCATCGGCGATACTACTCGAAGAAAACTGAGTCTGTCTGATCCAACTGTTTCCGGGGCTGGCTGAAGACAACCTGGCGCGTGTCGAAGTGAGACTGTCGCAATTCAAGACAGAAGACCAAAAGAGGAATCTTTGTGTGGAATTATCCCACGACTGCGCGCAACAAAAGCCCTCGAAACGGCAATATTTCGTCATTCTAGTAAAGCCTCTTGAAGCCAGCTAGCTACAGCTGGATTCTCGCCCGGTCGGAGATGCATCACGCTGTTCCCAGCCACTCCCAGGACCACCAGTGAGGTGTCATGTGTGTTCTCGGGGGACTATAGATGCAACGCGCAAAGTGGTGGTGGTGTATTCTCCGTACTACAAATCGGAACAGCCCTCAAGCAGGTTGCCGGAGTCATGAATTTTGGCATTATTCTAGCGCTGGTCGACTCCAGCCATGCAAAAAATTCGTCGTAGTTGTGTGCCGGTGCGATGGCCGGGGACTGATGCCAGGTTGCAGCCGGAGGCAGCAGTCAATCTCCCCGTAGGAGCGCCGCCGACTCGGGAAGACATGATTCGCTGGGCAGTCCGTGATTGTTTTCTCGAACACACGGGTCAGCATGGGATGGACGCCAGGATCAGGCGTTTCGAAACCCCACCAGCCGCCGACCCAGTCGACTCCTCCAGAGTATGGAGTACAGACTACTTTGTGTACATAGAGTCCAGAGCTCGTGGGCCTGTGATCTGTCACGGCCGATCCCCCAGCCTTGAGAGGTATTGGCAGAGGTCTGGACTCTGCTAGGGCCGATTGTATCGCAACTTTCTTGGGCCGGATGGAACCGAGGGATTGGAATGGTGAGCGACTATTAGATCGCCCTCATTCTCGCTGGAGGATGAATGGGATTGTTCGGTGGTTTGAGTCTGGGAATTGTGCCCCAATCGAGCGTCGCGCGACCAGAACAGACGTTTTGCGAGGGATGGAGGTGGAGAACGACAAGTTGGATGCATAAATTATGCAGCTAGAAAACTCTTTTACCCGGCCAAGGCCAAGGAAGCCAGAGTCAAGACAATGGAGAGACATGGCCATTCCGTCGGGAGGCAAGAAAGGGATTGTTCGAAGGGTGATTCAGTTGGAAGAATGACCCCGAGATTCCGAATGACAGGTTTGATGTCTCGCAGGTGATGTCGCTGAAGCTCGATGCGGTCGGAACTGTGCTCACTCTTTCCAGCCTTTCGAAAAGGGTCTCAAGTGCCGACCTAGATGCGGTTTCCTATCTTGTCCGTCTCCAACTTCCTGCCCGTTGCTTCTTGGGAAAAGTCTCAAACCCTGCAATTTGGAAAGGGCGAGCCCCTGCGCAAGTGGGATAAACATCTGGGTACCGCTTGCCCAGATAGGGTTAGCGGGAAAGAAGGTAAACCGCAACCTTCTGTCGTCCCTTCCCAAAGACATCGAGGCAGCAACGACAGACGGGACGTTGCGATGTTTTGTGGAAGATGCTGCTACTATCTGCACCTGGTGTCCTCTGGCTGCATTCCCGAATCATCGGCAGCCCGCACTGCTTATTCGGGTCCACGACAATGTCCACCGTCATCAACACCTCAGGACATGCGAGGACGGGCCAAGAGCTTGCAAGAGGCAGACACTTGACAGGCTGCCAGGACGTCATGGGCCGGATCATGGATGCCCTTTGCCCCTGAAATATAGCAATGACCCGTGTGCCAACCGCCACCAAGCCCTGAGCGTCGATAGTCGCTGGAGCCTGGCGGTGCTGGCAGCTATGTGTTTCCAAACGGGCGGACGCCTCTGATCCGCCAAATCAAACTTTTGCAGCGCCACAAACGGGCACTTGAAGCCCTTTTGCCCAGGAGGCCGGCTGGCAGTTGGGTATTCTCTTCCGTGGTGTGGTCTCGGTGAAAGCTGACTGGACGCCACGTCGCGCGGCACAAACGCTAGCGAGGGAAGAAGCCCAGAAACCAGGGGCGAGTCAGCGTGCCTTTTTTCGTGCTAAGAACAGCTCCGGCGTCACACTGAGCGACAATTGACCTTGGGCCTGCACAATTTTGGCAGTTGGGCATCGTCTTCAGCCAATGGGAAGTCGGCGACGCTTATGCACCATGCAGGAACCAGCCGTGCAGCACACCATCTCAACTTTTGTGCACTCCCGTCTCCTATCCAGTGCGTGAGTGCAGACATCAGATGAGCGGGGGTCCAAGGTCCAAGGTCCAAGGGGTCGTCAGCTTGCCGCCGTTTCGTTTCTTCTCAGCTTTTTGTAGTGGTGTAATGTTTTCTGGGCGATTCGTCCAGGCTCTTGCTTCCTCGTTCCTTTTTCCCTTTAGAAGAAATGCGGACAGTTTCTTGGTTGTGTCGAACATGTACTCGAAAATAGCAGCCAGAAGGTTACCAGCGATCAAGCATGTCCCTGTTCGTCCCATCTCTCAAGTCGCTTGGGCACACAGCTTATCACAAGGTACTTTTATCTTGATTCAGTCCGCCACGTTGTCCAGATGAAACCCTCCTCAACACGCTTAGGCTACCTTATGTACGGATACAGTTGTCGCCTTGTGCTCGAGTACTCCGTACTCCGTAGACATCCATCGCCAGATTACACTACCACGAACGCTCCATGGCGTCACGGCTGAGCGTCCCTGGCCACCCTGCTAGCGCCTTCCTACCACCCGGGCCCCCTTCCCAGATCCAAGGTACCTCGCCGTAGCCTGCCAACTGCCACTCACGGTGTGCCCCCCGTCCCGCCCGGGTCTGGGTCCCAGCTGCCGTCCGATGAATATATTACTTCCCACTTCTTCCATCCTCCACCGTGGATCTACACCCCGACCTCACCTTCTCCATTCCACCATCTTTCCCTGTCGACACTTGCTGGGCATTTTATTCTCTCCTTTCATCCTTCCTTTTTCAACCCACAAAACGCTACAGCTTGCTGAGCACGTCCTCTCATTACAACTTCCAGACAGCCCTCTTTGATCTGTCTCATTCCACTCACTCACCACTTTCGTCACTCAGCCAGTTGCGATATACACCCTTCATTTCACCAGGTGCTCCGGTATCAGCACCCATACAGTCCCTACTCAACCAGCAAGAGTCCCAGCGACCACTTTGATACCCGTCTCATACCGCACAATCACCCGACCGTACAATCAACCACCATGAAGTTCTCCGCTGCCACCACTTTGGCTACCCTTCTGGGCGCCGCCTCGGCCGGCTCCAAGTCCGACGACAGAACCTTTGCCGTCCTCCGCTTCAACAACAAGCAGCTCGTCAAGACCCGTGTTGATCCTATCATCAACCCCGGAAAGCCCGCGACCCACGTCCACGGCGTCATGGGAGGAAGCAACTTTGGCATGTCGGCCACTGGCGAGACTCTCTCGCAGTCCAAGTGTACCAACGCCATGATCAACGGCGATAACAGCGCCTACTGGTTCCCGTCTCTTTACTTCCAGGACCCCAAGACCAAGGAGTTTGAGGCTGTCGATGTTTTCTACGTCAACGTTTACTATTTGTGAGTATGGCTGTCTCGTGGACTAGGTTCTCTACTAACATCGCCCAGCTTCGATGGCACTGATGATGAGATCAAGGCCTTCCCCAAGGGCCTCCAGATCTTCAGCGGTAATTCCTCCGCTCGCGTTGCCCCGTCGTCCGGAGGCAAGCAGAACCTCGAGCCGGCGGACGGCCCCATCCAGCCTGTTCAGTGGACTTGCCCCAGATCCAACTACAACCCGCCGTCGTACCCTGCCAACTCGGACGGTACCACCGCCGGCATCGTCGATCCCAACAATGACGGCTCCGGAGTTGGGTTCCCCGACCAGAACTGCGACGGCTACGCTTCTCCCCTCCGTGCCGATGTCCACATGCCTTCCTGCTACAACCCCAACGCTGCCCTGACCGACTACGAGAGCATGGCCTGGCCCACCAACAAGGGCGCGTCGAATAGCCGCCGCAAGAACTGCCCTGCCGGATGGATCCACGTTCCTCACATGTTCTTCGAGGTCTACTGGGACACCCCCAAGTTTGCCAGCCGCTGGACGCCCGGCCAGGGCTCGCAGCCCTTTGTCCTCTCCAACGGTGATGCCACCGGTTACAGTCTCCACGCCGACTTCATCGCTGCTTGGGATGAGAGCGTTCTCCAGCAAATCATTGACAACTGCAATGCCGGCTCTTCTGGTATGGACAAGTGCCCTGGTCTCCTCAAGGGCCTCAACACCAACAAGGACTGCACAATCTCCTCCCCCGTTAACGAAGTTGTCGATGGTCTCATGAGCGCGCTCCCCGGCGACAACCTGCTCACCTCCTTCGGTTCTATCGTCGGCGGTGGCAGCAGCAGCGGCAGCGGCAGTGGTTCTGTTGTCAAGCCTTCTGGTTCTTCTGCCTCGTCTGCTGCGACGGCTGCCTCTGCAAAGCCCTCTGCCGTCCAGCCTTCTGCCAGCAAGCCCGCCACCTCCGGCTACGTCAGCCAGGAGGAAGTTCCCAAGACATCTGCCATGGTTTCTTCCGAGCTTCCCATTCAGGTCGCCCCTGAGAAGGCCAGCACCAAGGTTGCCGAGACGTCTGCCGCCGCCGCCGTCCCTACCACCAATGCCATCGCGCCCAAGCCCTCGGCATCTGGGTGCTCCCGCAAGACCAGGACCGTTTACAAGACCGTCACCGTCACCTCTCCCGCAGAGGAGTCCAAGGCCGCTGCGACCCCCGCCGGCTCTACCGACAACTACAAGGCCCGTCGCCACGTCCACGAGCACGAGCACCTCCACCGCCACCGCAGCAACCGCAAGTAAGCGGCTTGTCCATCGAACCTATGCGCGCCACCAGCTTTTGTGGTTGCGCCTGTATCAAACTTTTCTTCGTTAGACAATCTAGGGCCGTGGCTGAGATGGGAGTTTAAGACGTTGTTTTTTGGACATTGGGACTCGGCGGGGTTGTTTGGAAAAGCATCCCCGTTTTTGTGCGCGAGCACTCGCGCGAATTTCTTTTTTGACGATGATGATGATCAGTTACATACACACCTTTGAACCGGGGGAAAGCAAAGCTTGGGGGAACACGAGCAAGCTCAAGGGCAACTGGATTCCGCTTCTTGTTTGTACCTTGGAACACATACATTTCGATTCTTACACGGGTCTCTACAGACGAGGCACCACATTTGGGAAGGGGTTTTGAGAAGTGGTTATTTGCTTGGTAGTCAGATAGACAATTGAGCCAACCAGATTATCACCACTGACGAGTAAGCCGTGTGTGAAGTATAAGGCGCCTGCGGCCCACCAAATTGGCGCCTGGACGTCGAATTAAGGTTATTTCGTCCACGCGAAACAAATCCACCTCATCCGACTGCATTGCCAAACCCATGATCCAGATGCCGACTCAAAAGTTAATTTACAAGTCGCATTACAAGTCGCAGTGACCATTTCTCAGCGAAGCAAGGGACACATCGAGACAAGTGCGTGTGCGACGGTCTCAATTGGCCAAGCAATCAACCCGTCCGTCCACTGCCGCCGGTCCCCACAAATTCTCCGAGCCAGCGGTGCCCACTGTAGAAATTTCTCTTCACCTCATCCGCCGAGACCCCACAGCCGCACACCGAGACACGGCTGCGGTGACCAACATCAATACATACGGACAGCCGGCACTATGTCGCTATATCATGAGGCTGCCGACATTCTCTCGGCGAGCTCCGACCACGGCGGCAGCTTGAAGAGCCGCGTCTTTGGCAAAAAGGGTCTCAAGTCGCCGCCGGCGCAGGTCTACGCCCTTGCACTGGAGACGTGCAAGTGGAGTGCCATCTTGAAGGAGGTCATCGAGGCGGCGGACATTCTGCGCCATGAGCGCAAGGTGAGTCTACTGCATCTTCAAGTCGTTGACTACCGCTGACTCTGCAGCTCACACCTTTGCTGGCGCTGCTGCTGGTGCACGACTTCCTCCTGGCCAAGAAGGGCATCGCGCTGCCACAGTCTCACGGTCTCAGGACAACCATTGAGCGGCACAAGGCGAGACTGACCTCTGAGCTCACACGCGCCCGTTTAAGAAGGAAGATGTCGTCGTTGGAACTGTTGCGGGCCGACGTCAACGCTAACGCAGACCCTGAAGGAAGACACCCTCGATGGATCAGGGTGAACGTGCTCAAGAGTACTGTGGAGGACCAGCTTGAGACCACCTTCAAGGGTTATGAGAGGGCGCTTTCCATCGAGGCCGTGACGCAGGCAACAGGCAAGGCCATCTTTATCGACACTCACATCCCCTTCCTCCTCGCGGCATCGCCTGGCACGGATGTGACCAAGACGCAGGCCTACCTCAAGGGCGAGATCATCCTACAGGACAAGGCATCCTGCTTTCCGGCGTATCTCCTGGACCCGCACTCGGAAGACGGCGATGTTATCGATTCGTGTGCGGCGCCGGGGAACAAGACAACGCACCTCGCAGCGATTGTCAAGTCGCACGAACCCGAGCAAAGAGCCCAGAAGCAGACCATCTTTGCGTTCGAGAGGGACTCCAAGAGGGCTCAGACGCTGGAGAAGATGGTTAGGATCGCTGGCAGTCGAGGCATGACCAAGATCGGTCCTGGTCAGGACTTTTTGGACGTTGATCCCACTTCAGACACATACAAAGACGTCGGATCCCTGCTGCTGGATCCCAGCTGCTCTGGCAGCGGCATCGTAGGGCGTGATTCGATGCCAGAGCTGTATCTTCCGGAGGTCCCTGGCCCGCCTGGATCCAAGAACGCAAAGGGAAAGCCGTCCAAACAGGGCGACCGCAAGCGCAAGCGAGACGAAAAGGAGGAGCCCGGCGCGGTGATGGTCGATGATGACGGCAATACGGTCGAGGTTCAGTCGGAGCAGGAGCTGCAAAAGCGCCTAGATGCGTTAGCCGGCTTCCAATTGACGCTTCTGCTTCACGCCATGACGTTTCCCGCTGCCAAGAAGATTACCTACTCCACCTGCTCGATACACGCAGAGGAGAACGAGGGCGTCGTGATCAAGGCGCTCGCGTCAAAGGTTGCAAAAGAGCGTGGCTGGACGATTCTACCAAGGCAGAAGCAGGTCCGCGGTATGCGGGAGTGGCCCGTCCGTGGACTACCCGAGGCGGCTGGAGGCGATGAGACCGTCGCGGAAGCGTGTATTCGTACGTACAAGGGCGACGGTCACGGCGTGATGGGATTTTTTGTTGCCGCGTTTGCGAGAGAGGAGCCGGTTGACGGGGATGGCCCGTACTTGAGAGACGACGAAGGACGGATCGTTAGGGATATGGCTAGGATGCCGGTGCTGAAGAGCACAGGGAAGCCCGTGGTGCTGGAGACAGCGAATGTGAGCGCGCCGGAAGAGAAGAACTCGAGTGAAGAGGAGAGCGAGGACGCAAGCGATGAAGGTAGCGGCGAGGACGAGTGGAACGGGTTTGACTAGGTCAGCTCTATGGAACAGAGCTGGTGCTTGTAATAAAATAATTTGTCAGTCCACTCGGGCTCCCCTTCGTACCTGCCACGCCGTGTTTACTTTGACCTTCTCCTTCCTCTTCGGAGGACAACATCTATCGCCAGGAAAGCGGGTCCTCAACCCTTCCCGGCAATACTTTTGCCTCGAGTCTTCCTTCCCTGCTTGGTCTTTCCAAGTTGTGTGCCTTTCGTTTCTCTCAGCCTTGGAAAATCTGCCCTCTACTCTTCCTTTTCCGTCCGCTGCCTCGTCCAGCCCTTTCCAACTTCTACCCTCCACCTCGCTCTACTTTGGTACCCCGCATCCTCCAACCTTGGTTTCATCTCGCTCGACTTTGTCCCGTTCCCATTATCCATTCCACGCCGGCCGGCGACCTGGGTACAATCCCGCCTTCCCAGCTTGTATCTATCCTACAGCCTGAGCGCTTGCTCCTCACTCAGCCATGGCTTCTCGTAACCAGATTGCCAAGTAAGTACGACTCGGAAAAGTATGAGTGCAACAAGCTGACGTCTCCAGCAAACCCATCGTGGGCTCACAGCCATTGGCTCATCACAAGGACACATTTGAGCCCAGCACAAAAACATTCGATGGCTGGAAAGCCTCCCCGCTGCCATCTATACGTCTGCCCGAACCTTCTGGTCCTTCGTCTATCAAGTTTCTGAAGTTTAGCGGGATCGACAACCTTTCGAGAGTTGTGGACTTTAAGCTGTCTCCCGATGAACCTTTGGATATGAATGCGGTACCGGATGGCTACGCTCTCCTCAAGGTCACTGGGCGATGTCCGATGAAGACCCAGGTATTCCAGGTCCGCATGAAGACAGTCTCCGACGCGTCGATTCGCTGGGCACAAGAATTCAAAAATTCCCCCAACCAGCGAGCATGGGAAGTTCACGCACGACCTGAGTTTATAAGCGATCTCATGACGATTCTCCATTCTGGGTTCCTGCCGTATGGTCCACGCAGAAGTTGCAAAGACGTTCTCGCTCTGTGCTACCTTGCCCGGCAGCACTTCATAATGGACAGAGTCAGAAGAGACCTGAACACTTTACTGCATGCCAGTACTGCCATGACCGATCAAGAGTTATGGTACATGGTCCTCGCAGCACAACCACTGTGCTGTGACAACCAGAAAATTGGCCACCTTGCATTCAACATCTTGGTCTGGCGGAAAGCAGGCTCCTTCTACCCCCTCCGCGAGACTCAATTCTTGGAAGAGGACCACCTGTTCCACTATGAAGAGAGCAAAATGATCGGTGGGGCTTTTCGCTTTTCCACACGTCGTGCTTTTGCTAATGCCAATTTCTAGCGGATATGGAAGAGCATCGTCACTCATTCACCCTTCAGCTTTGTGAGGCGGCGAGCATGGTTGACCCGAGTCTGTTGCGGACCATCTTCCTCCGCCCAGGCAAAGATCGGTCGCTCTGGGAGAAGCTCACCTATTTGCAGCAATTCTGCCATCTAAAGTTCCCCAAACTCCCACTCGGAAGCGGAGAGTGGTCCTTTGAAGCTGTTCTCAATCAAGAGTCCCTACAGATGGCTGTCGTCAGGGATGACATTGTCGACGGATCTCATCACTTGTACGGAGAGAGACTCTGGTCCGTGCTACGGGACATTTGGCTTCACATTGCCGAGATTTCCAACGAATACGTCCTCTCGTAGGTGCACCGGGCTTTCCTTGGTGACCGCCTTCACATTGTTACAAATACCGTTATTACCGCTTTGTCATGGCATGCGGCAGAGACCGAACGACAAAGGGAACACGGGCATGAATGTTGACTCACAGTTGATCATTGTACAATTATTGGGAATGGCGTTTGGATCGGGATTTTCTTCATAGCTGATGCTAGGCTTGCTTGTAATAAGGAAAAAGTACCGTAAAGTCGTGGTTCCCTGCAATGTAACCTCGAACAAGCCTGGCCCTTGTCCAGGAGTCAATCCCTGTCGCCTATCAGACAGGGGTAACCGACGACATTCCACCATTTCTGTTCCATCAATCTCTTCCTCCCATCCTTCCGAAAACCATCAACGAAAGAAAAAATGGTTTCCTATCGCTTTCTGTGGATGCTCCTGGTGCCGCTGGTACCCGGAGCGGCGGCGCAGGACCAGGTCCCGCTCAGCAACGAGATGAGGTTGATTGCCTGTGAGTACGTCTTACGGATGAGGTAGACATGCGCTAAAAGTTTTAGGTGCCAAAGTAGGATGAATCTGAAAGGATGTGGTACTATTTGCTGACCGAAAGGTTGATGGTAGTCTCCAGAGATCTCCAAACACCTTGCGGCAGAGTGGGGAGCAGCGCAATCCTCAACCGATCTCCCCATGGACTGGATCAAGGACGCCGCCGAGGACCACTGCGTAGACGCACCAGAAACCGCCTACCCCTCCGTCAAGCTCCTTCGCGACGGCGAGCCGGCAGTAGACTACCTAGGTCCTATAACGAGCGACGAGTGAGTTTGCAGCCCTCCTCGCAGCAAAGCTAATCCGTCTACAACTAGAATCCTACGTTTTATCGACCGCGCCCGGCGGTCTTCGGTTTCCAACGTCTCAGTGGAGGAAACCGAGTCCTTTAGCAACAGCGACGTCTTTGTCTGCGTAGCTCACCTTGGCCCAGACGAGACGGTGCTCCGACGGGCCTTTGCGGCCGTGGCGCACAAGCACTGGGCCGAGTTCACTTTTGGCATCGTCGAGTCGCCAACATCCACAGACGCCAAGATCGTGTGTCGGAAACGCGACGACGAGAGCACGCACACGCGGAGCGCGGCAGACGGGCTCGAGGGCTGGGTCCTGGAAGTGTCCAGACCCGTCATCGCGGAGCTGACGCCCTTGAACCACCAGCGATTCGTCGACGTACGTCTCGCCTTGTCACAGCAGAAGCAGCTTTTAAAAAAAATTACTGACGAAACACAGCGCGCCTGGCCAATCGTCTACATCTTCTCAATCTCACCGCGAATCCGCGCCTCCATCCGCGCAGACCTCCACGACTTTGCAAAGAAGCAGTACGCCTCCCTGACGCCCGTCACCGTCGACCCGAACCGCTTCCCCGACCTCCCCGCCAAGCTCGGCCTCGACGTTCCCGCGGAAGACGCGTACCCCGTCGGCGCGGTCCACCAGGTCTCCAACGGGAGGATCTATCCGTACCCCAAGGGCAAGGCTTTCACGCCGCGCGAGCTACAGGGGTGGGGGCTGGACGTGTGGCAGGGACGGGTCAAGCCGTGGACGCCACCTGGGCAGGAGGCTGTCGACGACAAGGCTGGGTCGGTGAAGAGTAATGTGAGGGTTGTGAGCTCGCACAATCTCAAGGTGAAGAACATTCCGGGGCTGAAGATTAAGATTGGCGGGCGGGAGCGGGATGAACTTTAAGGGCTAGAGGTGACTGTAGTGTGTCGATCTATTACTCTATGATTATACAGATGAGGGGGGTCTATCTGGTATCTAATGTAGGCTCCTGTGGCCTGTCTAGTATGCTCTAAAATGCAAAACTCCTTGTAAATGCTAACATCATGCCGTGACACGTGCCGCTCCGGGTATCATTGTCTATCCATGCTTCCATCTCCAGATACGTAGTGAAGAAATGTCGTCTATGCGTCACCTAAGATTAAGCCTTGGGAGTCTCAGGCTCACCCTGGACGGTCCGCTCGTCGTCAGACAGGACACCGCCGTCGCTGGCAGAGACGGACTTGCTGCGCTTGTGCTCCTTCTCGTGCTCCTGCTCCTCGGCCATGGCGTCGTCCTCGTTGACCTCCTCGTGCGTCTTGCGCATGCGCTCCAGCACGGCAGCGGCCTCGGCGGCGAAGGCGCACTTTGCGCGGATGGCGGGGCCGAACTTGTAAAAGAGGAAGGGGACCGGCAGGCAGGCGAGGGCGAGGAAGGCTGGGATGGACGAGGCCCAGTGGATGCCGAGGTTCTCGTACATTTGCGTAGTGAAGAGGGGGAAGGCGGCGCCGAAGAGGGACCGCATGACAGAGTTGGCGGCCAGGACGGAGGCGGCGAAGATGACGTACGAGTCGACGAGGTAGTTTAGCAGGCTGAGGAAGACGAGGACGAGACCCGCGGCGAAGAAGCCCGAGGCGATGATGGAGACGACCCAGTGGATCTCGGGGCCGTTGGTCCAGGCGAACCAGAAGAGGCCGATGGGAAGGAGGCAGGCTCCGACCATGGCGGGCGGGAGACGGGCCTCGGGCGGGGCGAAGCCGCCGTGGGCGGCAGAGGCCTTGAGGTAGCGGCGGCTGTCGAAGCCGGTGTAGACGACGGCAAAGACCATGCCGACGGCGACGCCGAGGAAGGCCAGGCCGCCGACGCCAGGAGACCAGCCGCGGCCGCGCTGGAAGACGATGGGGAAGGCGGCGAAGAGCATGTAGAGGGTGCCGTAGACAATGGCCATGTAGATGGAGGTCAAGAGCACGATGGGCTCCCTGAAGAGGAGGATCCAGGGGCGGGAAAGGGCGACCTTGAACTGCTCGACGGCGGTCTTGCGGGGCGCGTGGGCCTCATACTTTGAAATGTAGTTCTTGCCCGTGATCTTGGCGAGCTTGTCGGCGCGGCGGCGGAGGAGGACGGGCGCGTACGTCTCGGGGACGGTCAGGCTGACGACAATGAGGACGACGCCGGTGAAGATGGCCATGAGGCCCTCGATCCAGCGCCAACCTTCCGCGACGCCGAGGAAACCACCAACAATGGGTCCTGCAGTTGTTAGCTGGGATCCTATGGACTCGGACAAAGCAACATACCAATAGACGGGCCGAGGAAAGGGGCGGCAGCAAAGATGGCCGTGGCCAAGCCGCGCTCTTGGGCGTTGAACATGTCGGCAATAACACCGCCGGCGTTGGTCATGGGCGAAGCACCAAACGTGCCGGCGAAGAAACGCAGGATGATGAGCGTCTCAATGTTTTGCGCACCGGCGGCACCGGCGTTGAAGGCAGTGAGGGCGATGTAGGTGGCGATGAAGAGGTACTGACGTCCGTACAGCTCAGACAGGGGCGCCCACATGAGGGGACCGACGGCGAAGCCAACGACGAAGAGGGAGACACCCAGGATACCAATCTCGGTCGACACCTTGAAGTCGCGAATGACCTCGGCGATACCTCCAGAGAAGGCCGTGCTCACAAAGGCGACGGCCAGGGTGGCGATGGCCTGCTCGATGGTGTAAGTCCACTTCTTCCACTTGGGGAAGGTCTGGGGGTTGTGGGCATCCTCGGGGAGGAAGTCGACGACAAAGGGGGCCTCGTCTGTGCCTTGTCCGGGGTATTTGCGTTGGAGGACGGCCTCTGTCACGCCGGCCTGGTCGAAGAGGAGGTGGAAGTAGTTGGCGTTGTTCACGGGCTTCTGGGCCTCGACATCGGCCTCGGTCGCCGTGATGGACGATGATGATGAGTGCGGCGCCGACGCCATGGTGACTGGCGGCTTGGTTGTCCTCGTGGGTATTAAGCTTATCTAGTGCTGGACTGTGCTTGGATGACGATCGTCGTTGATGCTACGATAGGCGCTGAAGTCTAGGTCGGATGAGCGAGAGATCTGATCTGGAACCCGGAGTCTTGGGACGGCCCATCGTCTATATACTGCGTAGGCCGGACTTGGCCTCGAGTGGGGATTTCTAATGTGATTTCCATCCCCTTCGTCGGTGCCCGTATCAACACACACCCATCTCCATCGGCCAGGGGGTGTGGTGATGATCCACCGGTGCAAGCCCACCCGGGCGGTTTGTCTTCCGCACGCCCATTTCCCATGACTAAACCGCACGGAGTCGGTCGTAGAGGACGGGGACGAACCAGCGGAGGGTCACTTATCTCCGGCTCGGGTTAGGATCGAACGCTTTGCAGGCAGTCTGATACATACCTACTTGGCGCGGGATCTGACAGGAGTCACAAGACGGGATTGGGCCAGGAACCGCACGATTTGGCTTTGTCAGATATGCGATGGCAGGTGGTTTGTTGCGCAGGGAATGGATGAACGCAAGCTGAGGTCTAGGTGCAGAGTGGATCTCTACTTCGATCGGAACAGAGCTTTTCTTCTTTCCTCCGTCTGTTTTTTTTTTCCCTCTTTCTCTTTCAGGTACGTACCCGCTTGCGCCGCATGCACAGCGGAATGACGTGGTTTAGCGAAACCAAGGGACGGCCACACCGGGCCTAGTTCGCCGAGGCAACGTGCCAGAGACGATATTTCATGGGCTGGCGGCTCGCTAACGGGGACCCACCAGCCGGGATATCGGCGGACCTGGCCACCGTGCCGAGGTGCAGCCCTTCCAACTCCAACGGATTTCGAGACTACTGGCCTAGAGCCCTGAGACTAGGTATCAGTCTATCCCCCTATTTTGTCATTACAAAGCCTTGAGACAGGACATTTCGGACTTTGCTCAACCTCGTCTCACCCCCAAACGAACGCGCACGCACTCGCAGTCGGATTACTGCGAGGAGGCCGACTCTTTTAATACGTTTGACTGATTCATGGCAAGGGATTCATCATCGTGGACTACCGACGCCGTCCGAACGGCATCCCACCAACATACGATGCAGGTGCAGCTGTGCAGCAAACTACATGACGGATGAACTACTAACCAGGGGCTTATCGTTTGTTGGCGCTATGCTGTACGGACCTCCCAGATTTGGACACCCGGTGATAAGAGGTTGCGAACCAACCAGTCGATTCGGCCATTCGGTGCATCGGCCGAGCGACCATCGACAATAGTCGTACGGATATATCGACGCTGTCGACTTGCACAAGTAGGGCTGTTCTTTTGATTTAGCCTTTGACCTTATTCATACATAGTAAAGGCAGTAAAGTATTCGGAGCCGGCCCACTACTCCGTACCCATCGGGACCGAATCTACAAAGTGCACGCAGTTGTGGCGTTCGGGAGGGCCCCTGCATGCCTGGCCTGCTTGGCTCCCGAGCCGTCGGCTCTTGCGAAAATCTGTAAAATTGCTTGAATGCCTGGACCGCCGCATCCCTCTTCCGGACTGGTCAGCCCATGAAATCTGGGTCTCGAAAGACCATGCGAGAGTCCCATTCGAGCGTGCCGTCACAGATCCACCTTTTGCTTATCAACTCAACCTCGGAACTCGAGACTTGGCAGACCGCAGAGGCGCACTTTTTCTGTCTTGTTTTTACGGCGGATGCAGGGCTGCCACGGCCTTTGACCGAGCGGCTGGCAAATCACCAAAGACGAGCCTCGGCTGTTAGTCGCTGTGGCCCGCGGGTGTCGAAAAATAAACTCGAATTTGAACGTCACCCTGCCTAACCCATGCAATTGGTCCCGCTGAAGCTAAACGACGATCGATCAAAGGACGACATGTTCTAGAACGGCGTCCGTCCGCGATGCACAACCTCAGTCTCGCCCTCGCCGTGCATCCGCCAGGCGTATGCCTCCGCGAGCCTTGAAGTGCCTCATAAAGTCCGAACTGGGTCCGGCAGCGCGACGGCTCCGGTCCGCCAAGACTAACCCTTCGGCGAATTTTGTCGTCTCCTTGAGACTGGCCCCGAACAACTTCATCAGCTCCGGCCACGCGTCAAAGTGCTCGACCGAGTCGACCTTGATCTCGACGAGCCGGAGTTGGTTCCCGGTCGAAATGATGGGCAAGAGGTGCATCAGCAACGACGTCTTCAGGTCCTGTCTCTCCTTTTCAAGGAGATCTGTCACTCGTCAGTCCGAACACCCCTGGGAGAGCATCCAACTTACAGCACATCCGCAGCGCAAACTCGATATCGACCACGTCTTCCGCGTCCACCAACTGTATGTACGGCACCGTGTGGTTCCAGACCAGCATGCGGGTGATCTTCTCAAACGATTTGGCCTCGTTGAGCAGGCCCGCCGCCAGGCCCAGCCTCCACAAGTCGCCGACGGTCAAGTGGTCAATCGACGGCTCGTGGTAGTGCAGCATGGTTTGCGACGCGTACTTGAGCGCGTCAATCAAGTCGTACTTGTCGGCGACGACCGCCACCTCGAGGATCGAGTCCGCTGCCGCGATCTGGCACACGCGCGAGTTCTGGTGGTGCAGGATGTTGAGGATCAGCTCCATGATCTCGGGGTCTTCGTCTGGGAGGCTGATCTTGACGGGTTCTGATCCCCGGTCCAGCAGCTTCTGGCCTTCGGAGAAGCGCGGCCCCAGCATCGCGCCAAACACCCTCGACGCCCGCTTCAGTATGAGTGAGTCTACGCGCAGCTCTGTCGTCTCCTCGCCGAGCCCCACGACCAGGATCACGTCGCCATCCGGCACGACGGGCACGCCGCTGTAGTTGCGCGACCACATCCGCGCCGCGAAGCTCGCGGGCGACCGCACCTCGAAGAACTTTTCCTGGGTCGGCTTGTCGATCGCCATGTGCTTGCTGAGTGGTTGGTCCATTGTCGGTGGTCGGTGAAGGGTGACGACGACGAGACTTGCAATGTTTTCCGTCCCCCGACTTTTTTTTTTCAGTAGACATTTTTCCATCGCCACCGTTAAGCCTTTCCCCTCAAACGCAGCTCCTTGTGGAGAGTCAGTTTGGTGGTGTCGTGCCGGGAACATCCAGGCCCCTCAGGCTCGGATGAGACGCCCGGCGCAAACGAGATGCCCTTGGTGGTGTTTCCCCCGACTCAGCTCGCGGGCAGTGAGGTGAATGGCGTCAGAGCCGAGGCTGCTTTTGGTCGATTGAGTCTGGAGTTTGGCTGGGTTTCCCCAGCGGGACGGCGTATGGCCTATGCGGGATGAGGCTGCCCCCTCACGCCTGCGCATAGCCTACGAGTCCTCCCTGCTGACGCGAGCCTTGTTGAGCCGGTTGAAACTTTGAAGGTGCATTCAGCTCGTGGCCCCAGTCTTCTGTTTCGGGGTTTATCTGGCTGTCAAGCCCCATGAGAGTTGTTTGATGGGAGTGTCTTCGGCGAGAGCGAGGAGGTGGTGGTGGTGGCTCGAGCTTGTCGGGAATGGCAACGATGTCGGCCTTGGTCAGCAACTAAGGTCATCACAAAGGCCTGGTTCAAGTGGCTCAACCGAGTTGATTCGGTGAGAAAATGGTACACCCAGTCAGTCGTCCAATTCTGCTCGGTGTGGCTGAGATTTGGGCACTTCGGTAGTGACCAAAGTCAATTCGACTGCGGCTTATCATGCGTCGGTGGTCCGCAATGCTGTCATGGGGGCACGTGTAGGCTGTGGCGGCGGAAGCCGTCCCATCTCTTGTTGGTCGGATGGCTGGCGTTGGTCATGGCCTTTGGTGTGCCTCTCTTGTGAAAAGTGTGGGCATCTGCATAATTTTATAACACCATAATCAGTTCGCCTAGTTCCATCTAGTTCAGAAATCCACTGTCACGGCGTTAATATGAACGTTAATTACATAAATACTTAAAGAAATAGAATCCTCGTTATTATTATAGAGCTCATTCGGCTTAAAATTTTATTACTATAGTTTCTGTAATAATAATAAGATATAAAAAGAATATAATTTATGAAATCTTTAAGAAAAATTAATTTTTAACATAATTTAGTCAAAGTTATGTTATTATATAGTTGAATTATTTAGATATTCTTAAAATAACAAGCTTATTAGATGTATTTAAAAAACCTGTTATTTGCTTGAAGAGCGAATATTTATAATTAGTACTTTTGATAGGTATGTCTACTATAACACCTTCTATTAGGGGGTCTTTGAAGAGGGGCTATAATTCGCCATTACACAAACCACTTTGGTCTTGATGTGTGGTTTGTGGGTGTTGGAGGAACTTTGGGTTCGCTTGGTACGTCTAGAAAGAACGTTGGGGAAGCAATGTGGTGGCGAAATGCCTTGGTGTCGGGCAGGTCAACATGGGAAGGAAGGAGGTGCGTTTCGGCAAGTGGTCCCGCGCCCGTAAAGCAACCCCGGTCCTTCCCATCCATCGAGGCTAGGTAGTCTCTCGCCCGCGCTTGCCTTACAATGCCTGCCTCACCGTAGAATGGAGACCATGGGAACCCTCCAGCTTCAAGGAGTATGCAAAGATGGGGTCCTGTCTTCGTACCTCAGGCATAGCAGGCTGTCCGCGGCTCTACCTACCAGGGAGGGGGGTTGCGCACGGCAAAGGTGTATTCTACTGCTCCATAAGGGATTTATGTCCCCAAGGGGCCAGTCTGCTGGCTGCATGACGCTTCGTATAGCTTCGAGATCAGGTAGTGCCCCATTGCCTCCTCAAACTTTATTATCCTCTGGTTCAGAGGTGACGTATTGGTCGCAGTCCAGGTGATTTTACTGTCAATGTTCCTCAAGAGATTGGGTGAGGCCTTGGAGGAGATTGAGGGTCATGTTCTTTCAGTTTTGCAACTTCGTGTTCTCGAGTTCGGTCTTGTTCCGTTAGTTCTGGCCCCGTTAGCTCTTGTTCCAGTGCGGACTAACATCGGTATATATACCGAATAGCTGATCTTGAAGCACGACAAGCACGGAAAGAATCTGAGTGACGTGGTTGTTTGAGTCCTTGGTGACATCGAGTACTTTCGTGATGTTGATCTACGCCTCTGTCACAAATTCCTGTATGAGCATTGAGGTTGTAGGTGGGTGTGATGTGTGGTGAGCGAGGATGGGGAATAGGACAGAAAATACAAAAGATTTTACTCGCCCAGTGGTCTCTCATGTCTATATGTAATGTACCTACGCAGTGTTGTGTTGGGTATTCTGAGGGTACCCAGGCAAAGTAAATCTCCCTTGGGTAGACATGTACGATGTTCACCCATTTTCCATAAGCTGGCGCGGCCAGTATTCAATCACTTGTGTTCTGGTGTAGATGTAGGCTGTGTGATTATCTGTGTCCGAGTTTCCATACGTGCCTTCAGTGTTTCTTTTTTCTTCCGTTGTTTGTATGTTTTATAATGAGCCGTTCCACTAGCGAACATGTTTGGTCTCCGACGACCTCGGACCAGACACAGAGACATTGAGACAGACATGGCCGGTGACACCTTTCCACATCCTTCATCTTGATAATAGGGATTCTATACGAAAGAAACGCTGCTGAGAGAACAGCAACTGGATCCGACGATGTTGCCAGGTCTCCCGCTAGGGAGTGCGTCTGCTTTCAGGTCGCCCAGGGCGGCATTGAAACTCGGACCGGGGCGACCGGTATCAGGTGTTATGTCACACTTACGCACAATAGAAAGAGCAAAAGATGTGATGGAACCATGTATCTTGATTCAAATAGTCTACCCCGAATCCTCATCTGCTCACTCCCATCCCGCCCATATGTCGCTACATGCCAATCTTGTCGAATCTAGCCCCGCCTTTTCTTAGTTTGGGGAGGCTTGGGAAACCTGAGCTATGGCGACTTGGACTTGCTTGTGTCTGCTCCCTGACATACAGACGCCGCACTTGACTGACTGTCCGGATCGGTGTTTCCCGGATTCGGCCATTGCTTGGGTGCGTCAAAGTTCGTCGTAGGCGAGCGAGCTGGGTTGTCGAAGCTCTTGTCACGCACGTCCTTGACCCATAACATGGCCTCTTCGAATCCCCCGTGCTCCGGCACCGACTCTTACTGCTTGGATGGCTCCGCGGAGCACATCGCCATGCGCTCATCACGGGCGAGCACCGGCGTCTCGTGGAAACTGTAGGCATAGAACAGAAAGTATGAGAAGCCCGGAGTGCCAATCTGCCAGTCCGGGTCACAGTAGAATCCTGTAGTGTTTGGTTCAATGTCGTGGACGTCGAGGACAAAGAGACGGATCTGATCATGACCGTTGGGGGTCGCTCACAGGCGGACCGCGGCCGCCAGCACGTAGCGGTTGACCCGATAGCCTGCCCCGTCATCTGGGGCATCCTCGTCGGGCTCGCTCTCATCCAAGAATTGAATGACCTGCAGCGACTTGAATGGCTGTGGGTCTTTGTCGGATGGCGTGTAGAGAATGCGAACGTACGACGGAGGCTTGGCTGTCAGAGACTCTGCCGAACCGTCCCGGTGAAAGTGGACTTGACCAAACAGGTCCTCGATCTCGTCACTCAGAGATCCAAGAGGAGAGTCAGACTGTCGCCAATCAATCTCGACGAGGCTGCGGGTGGCTTTATCCAAATCGCATTCTTCAGCCAGTGCCCAGTCGTAGTTATCAGCGGGCACGGTAAGCAGTTCGGCTAGATGGTGCTCCTCTCTCGACCAGAGAGTATCATTCATAAGAGGAGACGTCATAAAATCTTTGAAGCTTGTCCTTCAACACCGTTGAAGCCAATCTTCGAAATCAGGGCCCTCTTTTCCTCGGTCGTCCACTGTTGTTTGAGGTGGTTAACGCCTTGCCACGCCTGGACCAGTAGCGGGTTGCGCTTCTCTTCGCGCTGGCGTCTCTCAATGAAGCCTGGAACTCGAAGCTCGGCATCCATCATGCCGTTAATTTAGCGGATGAGGGCCATGACGGATTCGATTCCCGTGGCGCTGCCGTCCGACTCAGCAGGTGGCCAGGCGTTGAGGAGAAAGTTCTGTTGGGTGATCGAACAATTGGTGCGAATGTCGCCGGGGGGCTCCATGTTGGGTTTGATTCTGGTACAATGGTGAGTTTGGGCTGCTTTGGTGATGGAACATAGAGAAAACCAAAAAAAGACGGCGAGTGGCAGAAGTCCGCGAGGTCTGATTCGGGCCCGGCTTGGCATGGGAAGGTGGGGCCGCGGCAACGGCGGTGTCCGTACTTACCTTGGATATTTGTCGATGCCTTAGAGCGCGACTGGTCTTGCAAACAATTGAGAAGTATTGGAAAAAGAGATACTACTAAGGAATCCTTGCAGTTTTATTGCCTTGTCGAGAAACAACAAAAAGAAAATGGATTTTTCCCTAGTCCTCGACGACACCTTGTGCAGCTGCCCTACACGAGTGCCGTTCCGATCAGACTGCTTCCGTTCTTGTGGGGCGGCCTTGAAGTGGATCCAGAGGCAGTGCCCTTCCGGACCAACATCTCTTGACCCATTCTATTTCCATTTCACTCTTCTCGTACCCTTCCTTTCCTTCTCCATCACAACAATACACAAAGTCAACTTGTTATTGTTTCGCATCGAAAAGATAAGTTTACAATGGCCGATCCTCCGAGAACCCCTCCCCCTACTCTCCCTCCGTCGACGGGTCCTGGCAGTACCGTTGATGACATGCCGCCTACACGGCCTCCGCCGATCCTGCCTGCTCTGACTGCCCTGGCAATCTCGACTGCCTCGCCCTCGCCCTCACACTCGGCCCAGGCGCTGGTTTCAAATGCTGGAACTCTTTCCGTGCCCCCTCGGAGCCCCAAATGCTTCCCATTCCGGTTGGGCAGTTCGACAACGTCCATAACAGTTGGAAACAGACCGGCGACTCTACCACATCGCTCCGCGAAGCTTACGGTCTCTTGGAATGGTCCGATGAACCACCCGAGACTTTTGAGGAACAAGTCATCCGGGCCATCGACACGACTATGCACCCCATCAAAATGGCGGACGTTGCCCTCAGCATGCTCGACAAGAAGCTTTCTGTCTTTAGGTCACCCAAGGGCATTGGCTACGCGGAGATCGGCAACGACATGCTTCAGTACCATATTCTCCTCAGAGTCGCGAAACATTTCCGTACGTATCTCATTCTCTTCCATTGATTCGAGATTCATCGCTGACAATCGTAGTGGGCAAACGCCTTATGGAGCGAATGCTTCCCGAATTTAAGAAGCACAAGCCTGGAACATTGGACGGTGGCAGCAGTCAAGAGTACGCCATCTTCTTGGCACACTATACGGCGGCAACGGTGGAATCAGCCGCCACTCCCAGTGCCCAGGCCCAGGTTGCGCAACCCGCCCGACCCGCGCAGGTGACCCAGCCCGCTCCCGCCGCCGCCAGTAGTGAGCCGCCGCCAAACAAGTTGAGCTTTCATCTCCAGGGTTACAACTCCAAGGTCAAGAAGGCCCCCACGGCACAGGTCTCAGCTCCTGTCTTTGTCGAGTCCACCGCGAGTGGGTATATCGGCCAAGAGATCAACAGCTCGTTGCCTCTTCGCCAAGCGGTGTGGAAGAAGACCGGAGACAAGGGCTCTCCATTCGCTTACGAGCTGACCATTGCGGACGCTGCCGCCGCTCAGAGGTACATCTGCAAGGTAGAGGGGCTCGGCAACGCTTCGCTTCTCTTGAACAAGGGTCTCAAGTTGAGGTTCCATTACCGCGGTAAAGATGCCTACCTCGTCGTGGCCCCCCCTCGCGGCTCCAGGGTAGACGTCGTTGCCCCCGTTATGCAATGCCTCTGGCGGGTCCTAATGGACTGGAAAATTCGCGGTGAGACCCATGGGTACATTGCCCTTGAAAAGTACTTCAAGGACAACAGACGCCTTCTCCTCGGCCAGGCCCAAGCCATTCTCGACAAGGCCGAAGCTGACCGGCTTGCTACCGAAGTGGCACGATACAACAAGGGACTGGAAAAATCCATCAGGGCAACTAGGCCTAATTCATCTGTGCCGCTCAAGGATGCAAATAAGGATGCAAACATGAACGCCTTCAAGAGCAAGGCTCCTCCAGCTCCTGGCCAGCAGCCCCCTCGCAATTCACTTGCAAGTACGCAGTCTGGCGAGATAAGACGGACTGGAGACAGCCAGTCTACCCAGCGTGCCTTACGTCCAGGCTCTTCCGGCTCAAGGCTATCCAATGGGACCGCCGATGCTCCCGCCAATTGGACAGTTTATGGGACAGCCATACTTCCCGAATCTGGGAGCGTATCCTCAAGCCCCAATGGGACCACTTGACAACAGCCATGATCCTCCTCCACGATGGCGAGGCTAGTCGAACTCGGGCTATTTCTAGGCACCGTACGGTAAGTACTGATTCGGCAGCAGGGGCCGGGGAGGTTCCTCGCTCTCTGTTGAGTGATAGATAGCTTTTGTACGAGTAATTTCAAACATTTTTAGAAGCAATCTCTTCCTAATGACTTGACATGGTGCGTGACTCTACGTAATGATTGATTTTGACCAATGTGTCTCTGTGACTCTGGTAGTTGAAAGGTGAGTAAGGCGCGATGCTTTGTTTACGCCGCTCAATTAGGTACTAGGTTACTAATGTAGGCTTGGGCGACGGGAAAATATTGAAAGACCCAGATGGCACCTTGCTGTACATCACTCTTGATCGCAAAAACGACAACAGCAGTAGCAGCACCAGCATCACAACGTATTCCGAGCAAGTTGATTGAGACCAACGGGTCAAGATGAGCGCCACAGCGGCTATTCGCGGCTGGCGCCTATGATAACCCGCTTAAAAGAAGAAAATTCAAGGAAAAAAGGATGACGGGCCTTGCGGCGGTAAAGACGTCGGTCGAGAGCATTCGCGACGAAAAGTACAAATCGACCGAATTGGAACTCATGAGAATGATCTTGCCCAGGCCGAGAAGACTATGACGTCCGAACGGCAGGATCTCCAATATGCAAATGCTGAGATTGGATCAGTGAGACGCGATTTGGATAAGATGACACGTCAGGCCGATGAGGATAGGCGCAAATTCGAAAATGATAGTGCCACTCTCAACGATGAACTCAGAGCTGCATACGAGCTGGCGGACCAACGAAAGATGATGCTCATCAGACACGATTTCGGTCTCGAGTGGTATAAAGAACGATCGGCAGACGCAGATAGCCGCGCCGATGGCCTCGAATCCGAATTCAAGTCAGCCCGTACCATCATCGAGCAGTTCCGCAAGGAATTGGCCGCTCGCACTATTAAGCGCGACGAAGCTATGGAGAAGAGCGACGAAATAGGGAAGCAGCTAAATGAGCGCTCTGCCCAGTTAGCGGCTTGCACTACGACATCTTTGAGTGTGAAGGGATAAGTGGAAGGAATCATAGACACCCTCCTCGTCAAGACAATTGTAGAACAGTCTCTAGAAGTGGGGGTCTCACGGCTGGGCAGCTAAGGTACCCAAGGTACCTTAGGTAGGTACGAAGTACTCATTCGGTTTACCCACCCACAAACGGTCATGTCAAAAAAGGTTGTTGTCTTAGTGCACTAAGGTGCTCACACTGCAAGCATGAACCTCCGGGCCATGAGTAAGGTGAACTATGGTAGCTCGTGGGACTGCCGTCATAACTACTTAACCTCCCTCAAGCTGAGGTGAGTTCCTATTTAAGGTGTACCGCTCAAACCATACCTTGGCCTTATCTCTTATATTCCCATTACTGCTGTTTGCACTGCTATTGCCGCCATCGTTGCTTCTTGTCTCTGACGTGTTCCCTGTGGAATACGTTTGAGAAAGCGCAGTGTCATACTTCAAATGATTATGCCTAAGGTAAGGTAGTGTATTAGACGGAGCAGGTACTGTGTCTCTCTACTCTCGGCTAGGCCTTCTTCTTCCAGACGAGAAGGGACGTGGGACAGAAGGCATGAACTGACCAGGTAAACAAACGCCCGGTGACAGCCCACGCAGCAACGACAGCCTCTAGTTCCGAATGCCTGGCGGTCGCCGGCGATAACAGTACCAAAGTTCAAACTTATAAAGGAGTCACGAGAGAAAGCCGGTCGGACTTTCTCTTGCAAGGGATATCGTCGGCGTCATGTTGAGAAACACAGGACCTATACATCTCTGTTCCCCAGGTTTCCCGACTGATTCGCCCTTTGTCTGGCGATTCCCTCTAACTCAATGATAGCACCCTCGACTACATCGACCTCCTCCTCAGAGTGCGACTCGTAGAAGTCTTCATAAAATCCTTGTTCCTCAGGATCTTGATCGTATTCGTCGATGTACTCATTATCAAAGGCACCGGCAGCTCCAGCAAAGTGACTTATTAGGCTTATGCGGTACACAAGGTCGAGTAGGGCCCAGCTTGGTAGAAGGCCAGGCTCCTTTGCTGAGACATCAAATTCATTTCCGTCCCTGATGATGCGCTGGTTCACGAAAGAGATAAGGCGAATGTTTGCAGCGTCGTCTGTTGCAGAATCATCGGACAGAAATGTGTAGGAATCCTGCGCCATGTTGTCTTCCCACAAAAATCGACGCTTTCTTTGATCAGGAGTGTTTGCGGAATCTTTGAGCTTGTTGTTTCCGAAAAGTGAAGGCGGATGCGAATGAAATAATCGCCATTTCCGTGGTATCTATCGGGCTCGCCGGGCACTTGGGTTGGCAGTGGTTGAAGGCCAATTTTGCCGCTATCCAGTAGCTTGTGAGGGATATGATCCAGGCATATGAGGTTGAATGGATGATCAAGGTCCTTGTCAAGCAACGACTGAAAGGTTCTGATCCTTTCTTGAACAAAAACCACTTGCAGAGCGGACAGGTTCCTACCAATCTGGCTTTTATACTTGCTGGCGGCGAAAGCGAAAATATGCGCTGCTTCGCATGGCATTGAGCCTAAGATGCAACACTTTTTGCCGTCTCTTTCCATTGTCTTGATGCGAAAAATCAGTATCATTCAAAGTTTCGAAAGTGACGCCTAGCTTACAAGTGCTACCGATCTCTGGTTCCTGGATTTTGGGGAGCCTCCAGGCTTAGGGGACCCGATCGGAGGGTAGGCGCTCGACGGTCCGGGGGTTGCTGGTTGAGGCATGGCGGTGTTGTTGCCTTTGAAGGGGCTAGTGTTTGGCGTGCTCCTCTCGGTTCGATTCATAGCTGAGACAACAGTTGTCAGTGTAACGGAAGATGAGTCTTCTGTTGAATGGAGCTTACCGTTCGTCACAATACTTGGAACATACTCGCGAAGTCTGCGGACCAAATATCGGGCGTCTAAGTTGGTGGCAGCCTCAATCGTTTCCTTGAAATTCCGAAGTTCATCGATTGTGGCTGTCATGCATGCGGCCCATACCCACTGCGTCTGATCTCGGGTATCTATCCAACTTGTGTCGTCCTGTCGTTTCCGAATAGCTTTGATGCTCTGAGAAGCTCGAGCCGAAGCTCCAAATCGTCAAGGTAGGACCTCCTCTTGAATGGTTTCGGCCAAGTGGTTTCGGCCAAGTGGGCTTCAAGAAGGTCTCCATCTCTTCGAGGTAGTCGACCTCTTTCGCTGCCTCTTCTGCTTCGTGAAATCCTTCTAGGACTCGTTGCAGTATCCCGAATTCGCGGAGCTGAGTATTTTCGTTCTTGCTCGGATCACTGTTTCCCACAAACGCCGAAAGTCTCTCGGCCAGATCGGCTTTGCGTTCAGTCAATTCGATAGAGGAAGTCATAATGGCGAAACGGGGTATGCATTTGTTTTGCTAAATTTCGTGTTCTGTGTCAGAAGAGTCTGAGTACCTTATACTGATCATGCGTATGGCAAGGCAGGTAGGACTTTATTCACTCAAAGTGTGAGTTGGAGAAAGCTGATACCTGGATACCTAACCACGCAGGTGACAAAATCATCCGCCAGCCCTCTGAAGCTCTCTCTCTCTACCTAGAGCCCATTCAGTACTGAATAAGTCAGGGTACCTAAGAGAAGACCACTTATTAAGAGATAATTGACTAGGGTGTTTTTGTTTTCTAATATTTTGAAATTGATCTATCTCTTTTAGTTGATACTTAAGGGATATGTTTTGGCCCAGGAGGTAGGAGGATGAATCCGTCACCCGCGTGCTACCTTACCGTGCTGGGCGAAGTGGGCCTTAACACAGGGTACCTAGGGTTTAGGTATGTGGATAATCAGGCAGGTGCGCAGTACGTGCCTAAGGTGCTCTCTCCGGAGATGGGGGCAGGTACGTATAGGTGTAATATTACATCTTTCCAGCCATTCAGTACGTCGAAATCGCCCTCGCTCTCAGCTGGGCTCCCTTCTTCCAGATGAGAATGGGAAGAGGGACGGCAAGCATTGCGCCCACAAGGGCCATCAAGCTATTGGCCCAGCCGTATCCAAGTGCGTAATACATACTCGGGGCGAACAACGGGAATAAGAAAGCAGTCAAGCTCTTAACAAACTGAATCGCTGCCATGGCGCTGCTCGTATGCTCTGCGTACGCATCGATCACATAGGCCGTCACTAATAACTTGTTAGTCATGTCACCAATAGACCAAACCAAACTCACTAGGCATTCCACTCAGCTGCATGCCAAACATCATGACAACAACTCCGATATCGACGATCAGCCAGTAGAGACGATACTGTGCTGTCCAGCCGTAAAACAGAGTTCCCAACCAGGCCGGAACAATACCAAAGAATGCGAGCATGACTCGAGACTCTGGTGTAGGCTGGTCTCGACTTTTGTACAAGCGGTCCAGCATCAGTCCACCAAACTGGGATCCGACAAGCTCTCCAAAAGAGCAGGCGATGTAGTGCAACCCGCTAATCTCCACAGACTGGCCGTATTGCTGCTTCCAGATGTCTGCAAAGGTCGACAGCGTGACATACAGGATACCATAGTTGAATCCCGACAGGACGGCCGACACCTGGATAATGGGATGGAAGAGAAGCAGACGAAGCGGCCTTGTCAGAGAGTTTCTGATGACTGCCAACGTGGACTTGCCAGCGTCGATCCTCTCACTGAACGTGTAGTATCTCGTGTCGCCGGTTTCTTTGCGGAGACGAGCAGCCCGCCGGCGTAGAATGAGCGGGCCGTAGCACTCTGGGAAGCTGAAGAAGGAGACAAAGATCATGATAGCTTGGAAAATGGAAGTGGACCAGAACATCCATCGCCACGTCGTGCGCGCCGCAATGAAGCCACCAATGATGGGACCTAGAAAGGATTAGCTTGGTTGGGTGCGAAGCTAAGCCAACTTACCGACGGCCGCGCCCAGCAGGGGAATGAGAAGATAGAAACCCAAAGACTGGCCCCTTTGTTCAGGGCGCCAGATATCGCCCAGAACTCCGCCTCCGAGTGCGTAGATGGAACTGGCGCCGAAGCCCGCCAGGAAGCGAGCGGCAATAAGCGTTCCCTTGGTGTTTGCGAAACCGCAGAGCACGTTCCATATCAGAAACCATACGCTCGAGGCGTGGAGCACCACCTGTCGACCGTAGATCTCGGACATTGGCCCCATAACGAGGGGGCCAAATGCGGTCGCAAGGAGATAAATGGACAACGCCATGGCGGACTCGGTGGAGGTCATGTCGAGCTCCGCCGCAATGTTCGTCAGGGCGGGCGCCATGATTGTTGAAACCATGATGCGATTGAAACCGGTGGCCGAGAGCACATCGGTGACCATCCATTTTCGACCCGCGGGCCAGTCGAGAGGGTTCTCGGCGTCATGCGGTTGCGCAAAGGTGACTAAGAAAGGATCCGAGTCCTTTGACGGGGTGGGACCGACCGGAGCGGGGGCAGTTGCGGCCGTTGCGGCCGGTGCGGAGTCCGGAAGGGGGGCTAACTCCAAGTCGACCGACCTCGGTGCCACCGAGACTACACCACAGTCGTGCTGAGGTGGGTTGGTCATGGTAATGTGTGTCTGGGAAGAGTGTTATTGTGTTCTTATTCAATGACAATGGCGTGCCGGATATCAAACGGCAGTCGACTGATGGCCGAAGATGCGCCTGTCTCTGCAGCCTGGGGAGCACGATCAAGCAATGCGCAAACAAAGCTATTCGAGGCAGTAGAATGAAAAATCAGAAGGATTCGTCCGTCTTTTCTATATGTCAGTGTTGCTCGGTTTCTGGCTGACAAACCTCGGAAATAGGAGGTGAGGTCGGATATGCGATCCGCCGACATGCTCAAAGAAGATGCGCTAAAGCAGGCAGCAGCACGTACTACCTTACCTACTTCAAGCGAGAAACAAGCTATCACCATTTTAATGCGTCATGCTTGGTTTCCTACCGACGCGACAACATTGACTCAATCTGCAGGCTCTCCAAGACTGGTGCGCCTAAAGAGTCAGGTTCTCATGCAGGGAATAATACGGCGTACCTTATTGATGCCATTGACTGGGGTACATCTACCGCCGGTTCGGTCCCACTTCACCGTGCCAAGCCGGCTCCAGGCCTGTCTTCTTGACTACCTGCTTGCCGGATGATGGCCGTGACGAATGAATTCGTTGCGCAGATAAGGCAAGTTAAGTCGGTTCAATGGCCTGGTTTGTTCAGGTTATTTTGGATGAGCCATATCATAGCCTGGAGGGTAAAATGTTCCAATTTGGAAGGTAGGAGATTGCAATTCATCACAAATCTCTCGTTCCTACATTCAAGATTTTTGTCCTACAAATCCCAACCGTTTGACTGACGCTTTTACGCCTCCCAAAAGTGTATATCCTCAATGGCTCCGTTCCCTCGGCCGTACTTGCGTTTATCCCTCTACATATAACCGACCTGGGAAAACGACATGTTAAATATGGCCCAAAGAAAAAGTCAATTCCATCCATACAATAGAACAGCAAAAGAGTTCACCCCCCCGGTGCTGAACTGGGGGCTACATCTCTGGCGCACTTGCTGGGACTCGAACATGGGTACTCTCGCTAAGCCTGTCGTCGAGTAGGCTGGTTGGCGTAAATTGATTGTTGACCATTAACCATACCACCACCACGCCACAGTTTGACCTGACCCCCGGCCCAGGGGGCGCCTGCTGTGCTGGTGACAGGAATGGAATTGTTCTGACCTATATAGGCTTCATCTGTGGCGTCAAGGAACCTTCAGGCATAGGATGAGGTTGCGGGAGCCGACGAACCAGGTGGAAGGTGCTAGGGTGGCTCCTTCCTCCTTCCCTGTCACGTACCCAGGGAATGAACCGGCTACCACTGAACATCTCAGTTTCCCGCCCCAACGCTCATTCAGCTCATAGGTAAGAGAAGGATTTCAAAATAATTGCCTCGTCAAATTAATTTCCCAGCGATGAAAGACAAGGCAATGGCACGAGAGGTATTAATGAGGCGGGGCCACGGACCAAGGCAGTCGAAGTGTCACTTATCATCATTACGTACCTTAGTTGTGCAAGAATTCGAAGACTGTATTCTCTACAGCAGGTAGTCTACTTGAAGAATACGCGCTTCACGTGAAAAGAGACCGCCATATTCGGATATTCTTCCACCTGCCCACTTTCACGCTCCCACCGTCTGATTTCTTATTCTACCACGCTCTGCCTTCACCTCTTTCACCTTTCACAAACCCCAACAACTTCCCATATCGCCTCCTCCCAGCCCAGGTTCCGCCCCCCACATTACACCCTTCCCGATTGACACAAACACCACAATTTGTTTTGTCAAGTGAAGGTAAGTACAATTTGTATGATTCGGTCCGCAATGGGTTCTAACTCTGATCGTCTGTTCAGTCGATCATGGAATCTGAAGACGCGCCTCGGCGCGCAGTCAAACCAAAACGCTCTCTCTCGGATTAGGTTCAAGATTACAAACGGGCCCGGCAAACCTCTCCCCCAGCCGAACCCGTGTTTGGACGTCACCAAGTCACCGCTGATGCTGATGGCATTAGCCAAGTCACCAACAAACGCCCCGACCAGGCAGTCGTCGACTTCATAGCGGACGATGTATTTGCCTCGTAAGGACCACACGAGCAGGCCTACAAAAAGCTCGACAAGATAATGGAGCACGGCAATGGGGAAGTCTTCACTTGTGTCGTCCGCTTCGTGTCGGGACCCCAGCCTTCGCAAGGGCCTGTCATGCCTGCGCCCTCTGCTCTGCCGTCCTCTACCGTGCCCCCGTCGCCCTTTGGTCTGCCTCCTCCGACTGCTCTGGCGCCGCCTCCACCACCCCCGCCATCTCCTGATGAAAGTGCGACGGGACCAGCCAGAAAGGTTAGTCACGCTTTGGCCATACAAGTCAAGAGCGAAATGAGTCCTGAAGTGAATGAACAGGCTGGCCGACAGGCGATCGACATGATCAAAGGCAGCAATCGCCAAGTTGCGCAAAGGTTCGGAATGGATGACGTCCTGCCTTCCCGAGAGTCGCCGGGAGACATGGCTATTGTCCCTGCCAGCGAATCCCATCCTCATAATTCGAGAGACAAAGAAACAAACGGTCGCGAAACAACAATCGTGGTCAAACCAACAATAACAACCGCCATGTCTACAAGTCCAGGCCAGACCCCAACACTCACATCATGGTCCGGAGGATGGATTCTTGGGAACCTTACGACTTCCAACAGAGGAACGAAAAATGCGCCAACATTATCTGTGGCAGTTGCTCGGCCCGGGGACATCACCTCTTGGATTGCGTTTGGCCCGACGCCAGAGATGATTTGGTGGGCTGCCCGTTCTGCAACACCAAGGAGCACGAGATGGACCTCTGTCCGCAGCAGCCCTTTTTCGACGAATGGGGGTGGGCGTACATTCTCGTCTACCGTCGGGCCAACAAGCCATTGCTGAGGAACACATGCAGCTGGTTTCATTATGCCCTGATTGCTCATCGCTTCGCCTCCACTTATGCTCTTGATTCCAAAGAGTTTAGCTGAGTGGAGGCACGTATTGTCAAAGGGGTTCCCGTGGACCAGGTCCTTTGGACAGAATTTGGCAAAGCCTCACAACTTGTCGCGCGGTCCATGGGTCCGTTATGATTACAGAAACGTCAGCGCCGCCCAGGTTCAATTGAAGCGGGACCCGGAAACGATGAACTCCTATGTCGTGTTTTCAAATATGCGTCTGATGGACGAGCGGTTCAACCCCAACTAAGGCCGATCAAGATAGTGTTTTGAGGCCGAGACCAAGTGGTCTGGTCCATGCAACCACTCTTTGACCTTTGTTCACGGGACCTCGAGATTTAAAAATAGTCGTTCGATGGCCGGTTGAATCCTTGCCAAGGCCCATCAAGACGGTGTCTTGAAGCCAAGATCCAGTGCTCCACACGGCCTAAAAGTAATGGTTGGAGACGTGCGACGATGATTAACATAAGAATAGTGTCAACAAAACTGTGTTCATTATTGCTTGAATGTCTGCTTTATGTTATATCTTGCTCCCGGTGCTGTCTCGTCGTACTTGGACAAGTATTGGGATTATGTATCTCAAAGAACATGGCTTCGTAGGAATATAAAACCGTAATGTCTTTGATTTCATCTTCGAACGTGGTCAAATGGTTCAACACTTAAGGCCCGGTAATACATGCAATTTAAACGCTGACCATGTGTAGCCCACAATCGTGGCTCTAACCTTTTTCCCCCTTTTCTCTATTAGCTCTACGTCACGATATTACATGGGCCACAGGCAGTTGGTTGATGGTGACGAAAACGTCTCGTAGAGGCGAGGTTTTTTCCCAAATGCTTCTTCTTTTCAAAGTCAAACCCAATAGCGGCTTTCTGACTGGAGCGCGGGGCGTTATCATGATGGCATCAATTATCCAGTGGCACACCGCTCTTCACGTGACTCTAATAAATGTAACCGAGGCCAGCGAAAGAAATTCCACCATTCCCATTCCGGGGCTTATTTTTCTCCCGCTGAAAAGATATCTACTACGCATACTTGATGTCCGTGTAGTAACCATGCACCAAATTGAACTCTCAACGAAATTAGTAAAGAGATGGCACATTACAAACGTGTAGATGCTGAAATGGATCCTGGTTTGATGCATCAAGAGTAAACTGCTGTAGTCCGGTCAGAAAGCCCGTGATAGTATGTTCCTCCTCAGTGGACAAGCTTCGTTCGACAGCACCATCCTTATATGTGTCGTGAAAAGCACATCGACCCGAGTCTTTATACAGCGACAGCAAATTGCTGTTGACCATGATCGAAAAAAGAGGAACCCAATCCCTCTTCGAGAGAGCACTGCCAAAATGTGAGGCTGACAGACTAGTAAATATCCGACAGCATACATATGATAAAATATTAGTGCCCTTCTCTTCCTCTTACTGTGCTTACTATTATCCCCTTTGAATGCATCTTGTTCAAGAGCATACATATAGCAGAGAGATAGGCAAAGAAGGGCAATGGCAGAGCAAGGAAGGTATGTAGGAAGGGTAATGAGCGGCAAATCAATTTGGCACCCACTTGGGAGTATTGGACAACACAAAAGATCCCATTCTATGCCCTCAGCGGGCCAAGTTTGAGAGACTCACCTCCTTGAAGCGACAGCATCGAGTCCGTAATTGGGAGACGGTAGGCTTGCGGCGACCATGGTACACAACCAAGCAAAGATGATTGCTGTCCAGAAGCAAGGTCAATTACCCTGACTTTTTCATCCAAGGCCATCAACCAGCTTGACCAACGTGATGAATGTCTCGGGAAACGTTCCAGAACAATTCTGCACCTCCTTGCATGTGTCCGCAATCAAAGACTGCCACGCGACGGTGCCCTACCATGATTCGTTTCAAATGTCAGGAGTCCGCAAGGGTGCAATGCGGGGGCTGCCAACGACGGACGTTGGAAAATCACATCCGCGAGCCAAATTGCAATGAATTCGCGCGCTCATTGGATGGTAAAGGACCATTGATAACCCAGTTCTTTGGGTGATTTGGCAGATGCGCCGTGACAGAGCCAAAACGGCATTGCAGCCCGTCACCTTGGGCGCTAGGAGAAATGGCTGCAGCCACACACAGGAGCGTATGCCTTTGAGAACGCCGGCCGGATCCCGTGATCAACGCCGCTCCGTGGGACGGCGAGTGATGGCGGTAGTTGGAGATTACGGTAGAGCATCCCGGGCTCGCCTGTGGCACCCATCACCGGCATTGGCGAATTCCATGATGCGTAGATGGCGACGCAAGGCACACAGATAACCAGCGGCGCCTCGCTGACCTGTTGTGGTCCTCTTTGCGGTGGAGGGTAGGATGCAGAGTTGGTGATTGGTGGCGGCTGGGTTGTTGGAAGCGGGCATTTTGCCATTGTAAGGAAATGCATGCGTTGGCAGGGCCCTGGTCCGGACCCGAGCGACTGTCACCGGACAGTGCAAAGATGAGATGCGGAAATGAGCCACGACAGGACCGAGGTACGAGAGGTCGGAGCCTTTCCGCTCGTCTTGGTGTAAGCGGGCTATTGTTTGCCGCAGCCTAAGCAGATGTGACAGATGATGTCGAATAGCGGTTCGTATCAGGCACCCAAGATCCCGCCAGGCTGGTACCGTTCGTTCGTTGCCGTGTTTTCTCATCGTGGTCGACGGCGATTGAGCGAGACCGACCTCAAAGGCGCGAAAGAGGGGGTTCGAGACACTGCTCCATTGCAACGGCCGTAGCTATGAGGCATAGTTGACTGAATCGACGCCGTCGTTGGAAGTAAGTGCTGGCCGAAACGGCAAGGCTTGCACAGTAGTGTCAAGGTGAAGATAATAACAATAACGCCAGCGTATGGACCGAGCGTCACCGTCAGAGCTAGATTGGCGGGATGACGGACCCGTCGTTTAACCCGTTCTTAGCGGAGGAAAGCCCTGTGGCGTCGCTGCAGGACCCCTGCGAGAAGTTGAACACAATCACCAACAGCTGAGAACCAACAAGAGCGGGGTTGACGGTTGGTGTGTGTGTGGGGACTTTGACATCGAGTGCGAACAGCAACAAGAGGGCGTGGATATATCCGGAAATGACCCCACAATGGAACGAGTCTGAGTCTGGGACCTCGACTCTCGCCGCCAAGAGGCACGGCAAGATACGCGAACAGCCAACAGCTGGCGCAGAGTGTCGGTACGGATTGTCTTGGGTCGAGTATGGTCGTCACATGCCCATTATTGGCCGCCACAAGTACAATTCATCGAGTCTATCTGGAATCATCTCAATCGTACACCCGGGGGACAGCCCTGCAGTTGATAGAGGTTGATTTGACGGCAGCCCAGTTGGACTTGGACGGCCAGCACAGAGGCATCTTGCTGCAATCGCCCGCGGTTGGCGATGGGAACCGTCGACTCGGTAGGCGGACGCGGGTGAGAGGTGACCGGCAGGTGGTGGAATGCAGCAGCGCCACTAGAGAAACGTCAGAGAATGGAAAACGAATTGCAAAAGACTGGTCTTGTCTCACCGCGCCGACCGTGTCGACGCCGATTGGCAATGCTCGTTGACAACCGAGACCACCGTCTAAAAGACATGCATATCTGTGTCCCATCCGAACATGTGGCCCGAAATCCAGGTACTCCGTACCGGTCCCGGGGGTTCGCCCTTCTTCTCATCCGGAGATGTGCACGATATGCTGAAGTTTATCCAACTCGATTTGCTGCCACCCACCCCGGTCGCACCCCGGGTGAGCGGCCCTTGCCTTTGACAAGCAAACACGAACCCGGATTCAGCGTCACATACCTGCTGGGCGGCGTCCACACCAATGACCCAAAGCTGTAGAGCTGCAAAAACCCGTTCCATCGATTGGTCCGTCGATTGGCCTGTATTCATACGGAGTGTGTCCAGCCACACGTGGAGGTGCACCAGAGTCACACAGACGTGACAGACTCGCTGCCCAGGTTGACGGGCGGAAGGTCTACAGAATCAAGTCAATGACAGTGCAAGAGAGGAAGTTTCTCCCAGCAGCCGCAATATCGGTTCCGGGTGGCTGCCGGTGCCCGCCACAGCGCATCGGTTTGACAACGAAACGCTTTGTTGTATGCGGCGGGTGCATGCTGGACAATGATTGACCCGAGAACAATCCAAAGAAGCCTCGGTCGATGGTCTCGAAAGAAGTACACAAAAGACTAATGTGCGCTGACATCAGCCCATCGACTGGTCCCTGGTAACCCGCTGACTGATTGCGACTTGATTGCCTCGTGTTAGCACTGAGGGATGGTGTCGGCACGGGAGCAGGAACGCAATAGTGAACGGGCAAGGCATGAAGATCATTACCAATGGATGATGAACGAGGTTGAGTACTATCGACATACCGACGGAAGGAATTGAGGAATACAGGGGAACGTGGGCTATTCGCCGATCGGGTGAGCAAGCGGCGCGGGTGAATGCCTCGATTGAGAAGCGTGTTTGCTGGATGGCCGGAGGAGGTTGAGAACTGGGGGCGATAAAGCGACGGACGTGGGAACTCGGAGACGACGCAAAATAGGAGCCAGGAGGACAGAAGGAGCGGGCCGGGCTGGGACGAAAGCCCCCGGTCTCCGGTGCAAAAAGGCGGTCTCCAGCAGACGTCTGATTCTAAATACCTCGGCGGGTATGTCGAATAGTATAAGGTAGTTGGTGAGTCTTTTGGTATGTATGGGCCAGGGGTGGTCTGCGATCGTGGACAAGACTCGCTCGCGTGGCACAGCAGAAGTAGCTAGGTAGTGAGCGGGCTGCGGCGGATGCAAAGAAAGCGACGAGAAGCTGAGCAGGATCTCGATCTCCACAGTCCTCACAGGCATGAGCGAGTGCGAGGCCTGAAAGCCAATGTCAGCAAGCAAACATGCACGTTGGGACATGGAGTGACCGTAGAATACAGACTACAGAGCAGAGGCTCGCCCGAGGCTCAGTCAGCTGAGGGGCATCAGCAAGGCGGCGCAGTGGAGGCCGCAAGCTTACACAGTAGAGTGTCTTTGAGGGCGGCCGAGTTGTATTCCAGAAGCGTACGAGTATGTCTGTGTGATGGAGTTGTGGACTTGGTGGAAAGAGGGAGGGAGGAAAATTGCGTGGGACGGCTGGGATGGTGAGGTGAAGCGCAAGCCCCGGTTCCAATCTCGTTGCAGCAGCAAGGACCCAAATTCCAACAGAGGCAGGTCCCCTCCCCCCGGCCGTTGCAGATGCTGAGTCTGTCACTTTCCTCTCCTGCGTACTACTCAGTAACGTGCTTAGGTAACTTGACCTGCATCGTGCCCACCGCTGGCCGCTGGCCGCACCGTCGAAACCTCGAGAGATTTCCAGGTCTGTCAATGTCGTTGCCGCACGAGAGCTGTCACTGTAGGTTAACGTACCCGCCAAAGCCTCGAGGACCTCACAACCTCTATGCGTAGAGGCGTCAGTCGGGCGCTCGTAGCTTCAGCACTAGGATAGCGCGGAAAGGGAGTGTAGGCATGGCCCCTGGCGCCAATCGTCGGCCGCTAGGTATGGATGCACCCGTCGTTTAGCGGGCCCCAAGGCGCGATTACGTCCCCGCAAACTTCCAGGTTTGACGAGATGTTGTTGATTCCGCTGTCCATGCTTTCCCCGAGAGCATCTATCTTGCAGCCATGTTGCAAAGGGATTACTACCTCGTTCTCGAAGTGCAAGTGAAATGCAAGGTAAATATAGACGTGTGGCGATTCCGGAACTCGCTCCTGCCGGTCCAGGTCCATGTCCAGGTCCAGGGGCTCCAGGACGAGGTGGTCCCCTTCCTGGGTCGTTGGAAACTTGGAGTCGACTGCCATTCGGTACAAATACAGAGGCTGTCGGCGAGATATCGCAGCGTCGGGGGAATGTTCAAAGTCGACGAGTTTGCGACTGGCGGTTGGGACAGGGGCTCTCTTTTTCCACTCGTCGAGTCTTGTCCCTCGCGGGTTTAAGGCGTGCATGGTCGGGTTGCATTGTCCAAGGCTCCCCGGCACACCCAAGTCCCAAGTTGCAGTTCCGACGAGGCGTCCAACGCCATCTGATTTGTTGACTCTGTCCACTCTGCTTGACTGGGCGCAGGAGCATCGCATGCGCAGTTCTGCACGCCAATGGAGCCCTTGCTTTTGCACTGTACTCCGTGGTCCGTATGGAGCACTGCTGTTGCGTGAGCCTGATGAGAGATGCTGGGTGTGTTGCACAGCGCTCGCTGCGATGCCTGCAATGCATTGTTATGAGAAAAGTGCCCCAAGGACCGAGGACCGGTTACCTCACTTCAGGCAGGCACCAATTCGCAGTTACCTGAGGTGTCTGTAGGTACGTACTGTATGGAGTAGTCATCAGAGGTACGTACGGACACGTACTGGGCCTTCCCCACACACCTCAATCCAAAGTTGGATGTTCCTTCCTCAAGTTCCTCCAGCTTTCTCCTCCCTCTTCGTGATCCAATCAGACCCCGTTCGTCCAATGAACTGCCCGTCCAATGCTTCAGGAAATGGTACGTATCCTTTCCCCTCGACTGCCTCCAGCCTACAGGTAGGTATGTACTCCCCTCCATACTCCTCAGCCCAACTTCATCCGAGTTGCATTCCAAGCTCCGTTCCCATGCACCCGTCGTGTCGTCTCTCTTTTTCCCAACTGGACGGAGGCCGAGTGCGATGCGGCACCCTCACGAATCCCCTCGACCGACCATTCACCGGCCAGAGTCTCGACAGTCGACAGCCACCGTCCCGACTCCCCTCCCCCCCAGCCGTCCGCCAATGTCGCCTCCTGTCTTGCGGCTTGCCCTGGTCGAACCCATGATCCCGGTCCTTGTCCTGGTCGCCGGACTGGAACCGCATCCTCGTTCAACTCTTGGCCCTGGCTCGCCAGAGCTGGGGTCTCCCCTAAGCCCATCCGTTTCCGCGCCGCCTACCAGACCACCCTAATGCTACCTTTCTGTGTTGCTCGCTCAAATCTTCCAAACGAATGCCTCCCTCCTATCCGTTGGTCTCTCTCGTCGTTTTACAGCCAAATCTGCGTACGATACCCGTTACTTGGTACTATACTGATAATACTGACCACTTCTGCACAGTGACCGAAAAAAACGTCTCGAATCCTTTTCGGCCATTATCCAGTCTGGTATTCGTACGGAGTATTCGCTTACCACTCACTCGCCCTTCGCGTCCAACAAGTCGCAAGGCCCCAATTTCTCTCCCCCATCCATCACATTGTCCGACGTGGGGCCTGATCCTGGTCTCTCCTCGACAGGACAAGACAAGCCAACACTGCACCTGGTGTTTTGCGGATGCCGCGTGCTGATGCTGGTCGGCCCTGATCCTCGCTCGCCTTCTGCTCTTTTCCTCTCCCTCTCCTCTCTCTCTTCCTTCTTCGCCTCTCCTCCTGAGCCAGAAACCATCGTACCTTTGCAGCGGTGTACTTCGCCAGACGGGCAGAGCGAACAGGGAAACTAGACCCATCCTAGCAGTGTGCAGATACTGTACAGTCTCTCGTCTCCGTCCTCCACTCCTTCTCTGGCACCGCAAATCGATTCCTACAACCGCGGATTGGCCCTGTTGAGTTGTCCGCAGCTTCATATACATACCTGCCAACAACCCCCCACCGCCCAACGTCGCCTTGCCCTCTTCTTCCCTTCACCATACCTGTGCCTCGCTCTGGTCGCACTCCCAACACCGCACACCCTCCCACGCCCACGCCCACGCCTATCCGACACTGGCCTGATCCGACCGCCAACGTGTACTCACACATCAACATTCATCCGTCTTGCATGCCAAACGACAAAATAGTCGACGCCGTTCTGTCTCGAACCTCAATCGTCCCGCTGATCGTTCCTCCCGGGTTCTGGGTGCTCCCATCAGACTAGATTCGCTGGTGCCAACGTGGACAAGGATCTCCCCGGCTCGACTCTGGTCATCTCTATTCACGTCAACACACCTAGCCGCTCCGATCCATCGAGCAAAAGCCCGCACTTGTTTGTCGCCGATAACGATTAGACCGTGTCTCAACCGCGCGCCTTCGACCCGTGGTCTGGACAGCGAAAAAGGAAAGGGAACGAGGTGTCTCTGTTCTGTTACGAGCCCTGTGTAGAGACGTTTGCCCACGTTCGTCCGCCAAGCAGCGAAGCGCCATTGGGCAAGACAGCGAACAAAAGAGCCCCTCTCTGCTACCGCCCGTCTCTCGGTTCATCTCCAGCATCCAGCACCTCTCAACCTTTGTTTCTTCGCAAGAGAGCTTCCAATGGGCGTGGTCTGACTTGCATCATTCGACGCCGTTTTTCCTCACACACTCTCTCTCAAAAATTCTTCAACCAGATCACAATCGGGCCAGCTGACTCGCGCCGATCGTGCTGAGCGCATCCGGAGCTGAACGCCTCGCTCTCTCTCCCGCGCTTGACTTGGCCAAGGGCTGAGTACGGATCTGAGACCTCTCCACCTACAGTAAGTTCGCTCCGGCCGCCACACCCCCGAGCCGAGAACGTGGAAGGGTGTCCTCGCGCCGGAACGAGCATTGATGCTAATAAGGGCAGCTCACTCTCAGGAGCTTACACAAATCGTCTTGGCCGTCCTTTCTCTCTCCGTCTTCACAAAACGGAATCTACCTTTTATCATCCAGTTGAAGCACCCAGCATGGCTCAAAGGCACAACTCATGGGCGCCTTCGCCCTCGTCGTATGGCCCGCCACGGCCAGCCATGGACGGGCATTACGCCTACGAACCCGAACCAATGCGACTGCCACCTCCAATGCACTCAAATTCGCAGCCGAGGCCCGTCGCACAGCAGCAGCCCGAATATCACCAAAACGACTACCACCAAGCCCCCTACTACCGCAGTGATTATCAGCATCAGCGAGAGTACCACCAACCCCCCTCGCCCAGCTACCATCAGCCGCCGCAGTACCAACACTACCAACAGACACAGCTTACCGATCCGTACAGAGCAGCTCCCATGCCTCGCTATCCCCAAGAGTCGCCACGCGAATCACCAACATTGTCCGCGACCAAGAGTGAGCCCTATGACGAGTACCAGGCGGCAAGAGAAGCACATTATCTCAAGCGTAACCAGCCTCCACAGATGCCACACGTGTCGCAGGGTGCCCCGCGGGTGTTGAACGATAACTACCAGGGCGGAGGAAAGGTCGCCATTCCATTCACGCCGCCCAGCCTGAGAATTCCCGCAGTGCGGTCTGGGTCCACGATCCCGACGGCCGGAGTACCGTGGAGTGCCACGAGCCAGCATGAAAGGGTCAAGATTGAGGATCTTTTGAGCGGCGGCAGCGACGATCGAAGGATGCTTCAGCGTGTTCCGGAACCAGAAGTCAAGGTTGTGCGAAACGAGTACGAAATATTTTTCCGCCAACAACCCATGGCGGCCAGATGCTGTGGCTACGGCGAAAGAGACAGAAGAGTCATTGACCCGCCGCCCATTGTCCAGCTGCGGATAAATAACCCCGATCTCACGCCTGACGAGCTGTACAACAAGATTCATCACCCCGCCTACGTTGTTCACTGCAGTATCTGGAACGTGGATGGAGAAACCGACGAAACCAACATGCCCAATGATGGGATGCGGCCAGGCAAGCGGATCATGGGCTCGCTGGTATCATCGCCCTTTGTGGGCCAGGATGAAAACGGCAAAGAAGGCTGCTTCTTCTGTTTCCCCGACATGTCAGTCCGCACACCGGGCAGCTTCCGTCTCAAGTTTGTGTTGGTTGTGGTCGATCCGACGCACATGGCAAGGAAAGCTCCCATCCGGTCAACCATCATGAGCGACATATTTGTTGTCTACAGCGCAAAGGATTTCCCAGGCATGCAGGCTAGCACACCTCTCACCAAGCGTCTCAAAGAGCAGGGGTGCCTTATTTCCATCAAAAAGGGCAACGAAAAGTCTGGAGGGAAGAACGCTCGTCGACAAGTAGACAGCGACGATGACGAAGACGAGGAAGACAACGGTGGTGGTGGCGGCGGCGGCGGCGGCGGCGGAGCAGGAACGTCCACGACTAGGCGCAAAAAGACGAGAAAGCAGCGGTGAACGACGAATGAAAAAATCAAAAACCCCCACCGACCTGGTACGGGATGGCAGCATAATGTAACACGGCGTTCGTTGGAGACTGGTAAATCGGCGAATAGACGGCGGCGATGGTGTTTCAACTGGGAGTTCTCGTCGGGTTTGGGGCCGTTCTTGACGATAGAGGCGTACAAGAACGAGTGTGCAATACTTGTTACACGCCGAAACCGTCTTTCCGAGGCCAGGCGGTAATTTATCATCACGGCCTAGCAAAGCGAGGAATACCCGCTACGAAGGTCGTTTTCTTTTTATATGTGTCTATCCCATTTGTTGCATATTTGTTGCTTTACTTTCTTCTCGATTCACTCATCATTTCTTCGTATCTATATATACCCTTTGTGGAAATTTTATGGGTTATGATCATGGAGAGACGCGAGTTTGATATTGGGTTCGACTCTCGAGGCCCCGGTTGCATCATTGGCGGGAAGGCAGTCTTTTGCTCTTTTCCCACACGGGGACAAAGTGTGGCCTCGCTAGGTACCAGATGGATACAAAATTCAAAGTCGGGGCGCCGCCTTGTCGAACTCATTTCACATTGTTCAGTCACCTGTGATGCTATGCTCAGCCGACACACGTCGGAGCGGACCTCCATTCCGACATGATCTGATTGCACGCCGCGAGCAAGGGAGATACTCCCGTTTGGGCTGTTGGTCTCAACGCATGGCCCCATTGTCACGACCTTGGCGTCGATGGCGCCAACGATCCCCATCCGACAGCCGGGCCATCGTCGCAGGCGTTGCATTCCTCGGCTGGGCAGCGTAAAAGTCTGAGGTTACACGGCCCGATACAGGGTGAAGGGCGAGCCGGGAAACATGTAGGGAGCAAGAAATTGGTGAGGCTATCCGAGGCATGCGACTTGTCTCTCCAGGGACTTGATCATTCTCTCTCTAGCTCTACCGTATGGCATGCTCTCCGTCCTCGGGCCTGATGAGAAATCAGGGCCCGAGGGGTTCGTCGTTCTCGTCGTGCCGTCCCACCGACGAACCGTCCACGATACTCCCTGGCAAAGCCCTGGCGATCTGCCAGCCGTGCGAGTCAGGGTTCATGGGTCCCTTTTTCTGTTCTTTTTTTTTCCCCCCCTCCTCTCCAACCGTCCTGGTTCGTGGGTTGTGGGTCACTTGACCATTTCACCAATGCAAGGTACGGATACACAGCAATTGGTCCCGCGATTCGAGCATCGCGGTAGCCGCCGCCGCCCATTCAAATAAAGTTTCGGGAGGGGACGGGCGAAACGGGTGGACGGGTGGACGGGTGACGGGGTCACGGATGCTTACCCATCATCTTAGAAGGAACCAACCGGCCCACGGTCCACCGAGCGGGTACGCAGTGTGTGCGCGCAATCTCCAAGATTTCGGGCGAGATTTACGGGATACCTAGGTACACCAAGCGGGAACGATTTCCCGTTCGGCGGGCTCCAGTGGCGCGCGGGCACATGGGCATTGGGCACACGCGGGTCTTGGTCCGGGCTTTTATTTTCCCTCCTCTTCTCTTCTTCGCCTTCGTCTTCTTGGACCACCCCAGTCTAATAGGTAGGGAGTACGGAGTACGGGTGTGAGGATACTTTAGGGGACTGAGACACCCGCAGACTGTGTCTTATGGATCGTAGGGAAAAAAAGAAGAAAAAAATATATGTGTGGCGTTGTGGTTGCTCCGAACACTCGCGTGGCTTAGAGTCATTGACATCATTGATTTTTTTTTGGTTCCCTACTCAGCCAATCGACCCTTGATGTCTCAATGCGGAACATACTCTCCTGGACGCGCTTCCCTCACGCGACGAGCCTGTCTCCCTTTGCTTAGTGACATGCCAATTGGGACTCCATCCTAGAGCTGAGGTGAATGTATCTCGTGATTTCGTGTTTTGCGTTACACAACGTTCGTGACCTACCATCTCACTGAACCCAATACTTCTCAGTCACATACCTTGTCCTCGCCCTAACTCACTCACACCCACGCACTCACACTCACTCACATTCACAATGGCACCCGGCCCGCGCGTGATATACTGGTTCCGGACCGATCTCCGACTCCACGACTCGCCCGCCCTTGCGGCAGCGCTCGCGCTCGAACCGGCCGTCCTGTGGCCCATCTTCACCTGGGATCCGCACTACGTGTACCGCGCCCGAGGCGGCCTGAACCGGTGGCAGTTTCTGTTTGTTTCCCCCACGCCCCCCTCGCGGAGGAGTAAAATGACTTACACAAACCCGTTGTGCCCAGACTGGACTGCCAGAATGGCCTATCAGAGAGCATCACCAAGCTCAACCCAAAGTCCAAGCTCTTTGTGCTACGCGAGGGCCCGCAGACACTGTTCCCCAAGCTCTTCAAGGCGTGGAAGGTGACGCACCTCGTCTTTGAAAAGGACACGGACGCGTACGGTCGCGAGCGGGACGACGTGGTCATCAAGGCCGCCCAGGATGCCGGGGTGGAGGTGATTATCAAGAGCGGGCGGACGCTATGGGACAGCGACGCCGTGGTCGAGAAGCACGGCGGCAAGCCGACCATGTCCATGTCGCAGCTACAGGCGGCCGGCGCCAAGGTCGGGCCCATTGCGAAGCCCGTGGCCGCGCCGGAGTCGCTGCCGGACCCGGGTGAGATGCCGGTGGACTTTGAGCAGACACCGCCCGAGACGAAGCCCGACTTCAACGCGGAGAACCGGACCGAGGGCGGGGACGCGGCGTACAAGAAGATTGCGGGGCCCAAGGGGGACTTTGCGATTGAGACGATGGAGGAGCTCGGGTTTCCGTCGGCGACGACGCCTCACAAGGGTGGAGAGACGAGGGCGCTGGCGATGCTCGAGGAGATTCTGGCCGACAATAAGTACACGGCCACCTTTGAGAAGCCAAAGACGAGCCCCGCGGCGTTCGAGCCGCAGTCCACGACCTTTCTTTCACCGTTTCTGCACTTTGGGGCCCTGTCGGTGCGCGAGTTCTATTGGAGGGTGCAGGACGTCGTGACAAAGTACGGCAAGGGGGCTTCCAAGGTGCCGGAGAGCTTGCTGGGACAGCTGCTCTTCCGCGACATGTACTTTGCGGCGCACGCGGCACTGGGCTACCAGTTCACGCAGACCGCCAACAACCCCTACTGCCGCTTCATCCCGTGGCATTTGCCGTCAAAGGTCGACCACGAGACAGGCCTCGTGACGGGCGAGTACCACGTCGACTCGGCGGAGGCGGACGAGTGGTTCCGGCGGTGGAAGTACGGCGTGACGGGGTTCCCGTGGATCGACGCCCTAATGCGGCAGCTTCGCGAGGAGGGGTGGATTCACCACCTGGGGCGCCACTCGGTCGCCTGTTTCCTGACGAGGGGCGGGTGCTACATTGACTGGGAGCGCGGCTGCGAAGTGTTCGAGGAGTGGCTGCTCGACCACGAGCCCGCGTGCAACGCCGGCAACTGGCAATGGCTGAGCTGCTCGGCCTTCTTCTCGCAGTACTTTCGGTGCTACAGCCCCGTGTCGTTTGGGCAAAAGTGGGACAAGCAGGGCGCGTTTGTACGGCGATGGGTGCCAGAACTCAAAAACTTGGACGCCAAGTACATTTACGAGCCGTGGAAAGCACCGCTGCCGGACCAGAAAAAAGCCGGAGTCAGGGTGACGGGTCGCGGAGAGAAGCAGGAAAAGGGCGTGTACCCGAAGCCAATGTTTGACTTCAACGAGAGGAGGACGGCGTGTCTGGCGGCGATGAAGCAGGCGTACGGAGTCGGTCTCCATGGGAACGACGAAAAAGTGCGGGACGGCAGCTGGCGCGAGCTCTTTGCGGGCCAGGACACAGAGATGATGGACGAGTTTGAGAGCGACGACGGCGAGCACGCTGATCACGGCGAAGACCACAAGACGGCGCGACCCAAGGCAGATGAGATCACGCCGGCCAAGCGCGCTGCCGACGAAGGAAGCGCCGAACAGCACGCCGACAAGAAGAAGAAAAAGTCGTAGCTCTGTCGTAAGTCTGGCCGTGAGTACTGGAGTCAGTCAGAATTTGTGCCTCAGCTGCCTAGACGGTGTCGTCAGTAAATGAGAAAGACGATTGTGCCTTTCTCTATGTCTGCCTCCCATCATCGATCAAGGCTTCAAAGACAACTTGCAACGCTGTGATACGTGTCGTTGACGGCATGTGGTTGAATGCTTCCCGGGCAAGTCATGGTCAGTAATACGCCGCTGCGTAAAACACGCTGGAGTGACGTCGCACCCCGGTCCTTGGCTTGGCGCACGGCCCCAGGCAGCGGGGTTCAGTATCCCAATCTGGAAATCGCGACCAATCACCAGCCACGGTCTGTGGAGGCAGCCAACTTCAAGGCAGGAGCACCAATTGCAGCTTCCCGTTGCTCCCTCCACCCTTGACGATCGTACCTTCCCGATTAGTGCCACGATGAGGCTGAATCACAAGGACCTCTCCTCACCACCTCCGACTGCCTGCGTGGCACCTGGATGTTGACTGACTCAGACGATACAAAACTATTGTCTTCCTTTTTCTATAAGAACCTTCAGTCCCTCAGGTTGTAGGGTCAACACATCCGACTCACCACTCAGATCACCATTCACTCAACTCGACATACCACACACCATAGAACGGTCTTTCACTCAACTCCAGCACCCGATTTCCAGCATCACAGCACAATATGACCAACACAAGCGACCCCGAGACCGTCGAGGTCATGCCCGAGATTCGTGCTCAGGATCAGCCCATCGCCAGCAGCCGCAGAGTGACGGTGCGTCTGGGAGACGACGGCCCCAACTCGACACGATCAGACATCCGCATTTCCCACGGCAGCAAAAAAGACGCCCTTTCTATCCAGCTCAACCGCACGATCCGCGTCCCCGACAATAGGGATACCAACAGCCTTCCCCCCGGCCTCGGAACCTTTCCTCTGTTCAAAATCCGCGACTACGCACACAACATGCCCCTGGACATGGCCAAGAAGGGCGGCATCTTCTTCCCCATGTACCAGCGCGAGGCCATGTGGGTCAACTTCTCGGCCCAGGCCCCTTTTGCCATCAAGATCTACGTTGGCGGAGTCAATGCGGTTTCCGGTCTGCCCATGACGGAGAACGAAAAGACGCTCGAAAAGCGTGTGCGGATGCTCAACAGCGGCAAGCAGATCCAGGACTACATGGTGGTGCCTGACCAGAACTGGCTGGACGGCATCGTATCAGAGGACGGCAAGATTCGGCAATTCGTCGCGCAGCCCAAGGGATCGGGATTTTCAGTCGAGGCCCAGGTCACCGGGGAGGAGAACATTGGCGGCATCCAGATTGAGGTGATTCCCATCAAGAAGAATCTCCCGACCGAGTTTGACGTCCGCTACGAGAACAAGGAGCACAAGGTCATCACCCGGACCTTCAACGTTGTGGAGAAGGGCCTCACCAGTGAGAGCACCTGGCTGGACGTCAAGAAGCTCATCTGCGATGAGTTTGACATTGCCGTCGATCAACAGCGTCTCAGCGACCACGGCAACCACATGGGTTTTGACAAGTACCGAATCGACTTTTCCGACGATACCAAGCTTGGCGACACCTACTTCCCACCAAACTTCTCGACCGTCAACGTCGTGCACGATACGCCAATGCGTGGCCGGATGCGCATGATGGGAGGGCTCAAGTCCATGGCGGTTCCTGGCGGCGGTCCCGAGATGATGATGTGCGCAGCTTCCGTCTCCAGTCCCATGGCGGCACCACCTCCGGCAGTCGAGGAGATGGGTCTTGCGGCTGGTGGTCTCATCACCCAAACGATCGAGGAAGACAAGTACCCGGCCGATGTCTGGGATGTTGAGGCCTCGGTGATGATGAACCTTCAGATCCTGAGCGTCGAGTCCTTCTGCGCCGTGACCGGACAGCCGGCTCCCGACACCCCCGTCAACGCCCAGTCGTATGCCAACCACGGCTATCCATTTTTTGAGATTTGGGGAGAGGAGAAGACGGGCATCAAGGGGGACTTTTCCGAGGTGAAGAGCGTGGCGCAGATCGAGGCCGAGAGAGCCGCGGCAGCCGGCGAGGAGTACAAGGAGGAAGAGAGCGTACCGGTGAGGATCATGCAGCTGGGCCCCTTCCGAAGCACCTTCCGGCCTGTAGAGGTGCTGAAGAAGGAGCTCGAAGGGCTACGCTTGGAGTGATTGTATGACATTTCAATGATGCATGAAAGGACGCATAGCATAGGATATCGGATCTTCGGACAGAAAGGAATGTTTCGCACTCTGTCTCAAGTCCCAAGCTAGATTAGGATCGTGGGTAGGACTGAAAAATTATGGCAGCGATAGTTCTGCATTACCTTAGGTACCTTAGCCCAGATGAAAAAGAGCTACTTCACTTGCATGCAGTCGAAATCCCGGGCAAAAGTGGGGCCGATCGGAGCTGTCCAAGCTTTCCGCCAGTACGGACCCCTCCGGCTGGGAAAGTGACAGTAACTCACGGAGTCGTCCGTCTTGTGAAGTCAACAGCAGAACAGCGACATCCATCCGTTGAATTCGGACAGTAAGTCCTCATCACAAAACCTCGGCAGCCCCGCACACCATCTCCAAGTTCAACCCGTCATTTTAGATTTTTGGAGTCGTCTACCTCTTCCCCGCGTTCGAGTCGCATCTCCCGGGACCTCGGCGGACCCACATCTTGCCGAATAACACCACTTTCAACGACAGACGTATAAGTCGCGGCCCACCCCCCTAGGGTCCCCAAAAATGCATCTCTCGCTCTGTCAAAAGGAGCTTTGGTAGATAGCACACTCGCAGAGAAAGAGACACGCACAGAGAGAAACAACAATGCCGTTCCAATCCCGAGCCCAAGCCCTCGTCAACGCGCAAACCGGCGCCGACGCCCGCCTATCCCGGCACACCGCCACGACCTCTTCTTCTTCTTCTTCCTCCTCGCCCGCCGTCCCCAACATTGAAGTCCTCATCGCCCACGTAGAACAGCACGGCTACGTAATCATTCCCTCCGCCTTCTCCGCCCCCGAGGTAGACGAAGCCCACGCCGAGGTCGTCCGCCTGGCATCCTCGCCCGAGACAGCTGGGCCGGCGGGTGGGTTCTCCGCCCATGCCAATGACAAGGACAGCACCACCACAGGCGGCAGAAACAGCTTCGAAGGCTTCAACACCCACCGCATCTACGCCCTCCTCAACAAGTCCCGCGTCTTCCACAAGTTCCCCACCCACCCGGCCCTCCTCGCGCTCAACAACCACTTCCTCGACCCGGGCTTCCTCCTCAACGCCTTTCACAGCGTCTACATCCAGCCCGGCGAGGTTCCGCAGGCGCTGCACCACGACGACGGCTACGTCGGGGTACCGAGGCCCCATCGGCCCTTTGGGACGGTAATGCTCTCCCTCCCTTGCAACCGCCTCCTCCTCCTTGACTAACACACACACCAACAGGGCGTAATGGTCGCCCTCGACGACTTCACCCCCACAAACGGCGCGACCGTCATCATCCCAGGCTCCCACACCTGGGGCCCCGACACCGACACCGTCCACCTCCCCCAGCGCAAAGACGCCATCCCCGTCGTCATGGACAAGGGCAGCGCCGTCTTCTTCCTCGGCACCCTCTGGCACGGCGGCGGGGAAAACACCTCGCTCGAGCCCCGGAGGGCGCTGACGATCCAGTACTGCCAGCCCTGGATGCGGCCCTCGAGAACCAAATCCTCGCCGTCGAGTGGGACAAGCTGACCGGGATGCCGAGGCGGCTGGTGGACTTGCTCGGGTACGAGCCCGGGGCCCCGTTTGTCGGGTACGCAGATGGGGTTCACCCGTGGAAGGTTGTCCAGAGGAGGCTGAGGGAGCAGGAGGAAAGGGGTCACAGGCAGGGGAAGTTGTAAAGGGCTTCCGACCCTGTGTGTGGCCTCGTGCGGTGTCACTGAGCAAATGAGTCGAGTGTTGACTACGTATTGTATTGACGTGACCCTGACAGGCCGCGGTATCCATCCCCGCACCAACGTGAAACCACCACTAAAAAGTATCTACGAGAAGAGTATCAACAGTCGCACCATGCGAAGATTACAGTATATGGAGCATCTCGTTAGATGCCAGTAGTTGCCATTGTATATGACAATGTATGCCGCCAAGTTGGCGGAAGCGCCATGCCCAAATTCCGGCTGCTGCCAATAATCACGAACCGCCATCCGATGCCGTCCCTTGGGACCCGGCTCTTTTTTTTCTTTTGCCCAAAATCCGGCCGTGAATAGAACTAAGACTAAATACTAAGTGTAATGTGAAGACCGACAAGGTCGGATGCCGGGTACGGCATTAGAAGTAGAAATAAATGCGAGAGAATGTCGAGGGTATCATGGCGCTTGCTGAAAATCAAATAACTCAAAACATGACTCGTTACGGATGAGGGCAGTCTCCCGACCGCTTTACAACATGTTGTAAAGCAGAGCCAGGGTCATGGTTGTCGCCGCCAGAGCCCAGGAGGGCACCGACAGCCCTGCCGTGCTGACCGCGGCCAGAAGCGTGTCGTTGACGTACTCTGGTCCGCATATGGTATTGACCTGCGACGCGGCGTCCTCGTAGGTTGACGAGATGGCGAGTTTGCGATTCGTAGTGAAGGTCTGGTAAATCTCCATGGTCTGTCGGAGACACGTGCCGCAGGTGGGGTTTGCACTGGCGGGCAAAGTCATGTTGAGTGGGAGGTAGTAAAAATAGACGTTGGACGGCGTGGTGAGGTTGGTGACGGCGTTGGCAAAGCAGTACATGGACGTATCGGGGTCCGTGAGACAGGTAGCCTTGTACAACATCTCATACGATTTCAAGCCGAGATAGGCCTGCATGACGATTGGGTTGCCGGCCTGGTAGTCAGAGCCGCAGTTGGCGTCCAACGTTAGGTTGCCGGCCACACCGGTAAGGAACTCTGTGCAGTACTCAACGTCAGCGCCGCAGGTGGCGTCGAGCACCCTCACAATACTCAAAAGCTTCTTTTCCGCCTCAAAGAAGGATCTCGAGCCCTGGACGAGAGAGTCAGCTCGTGTACAACACCGACGGACAACAACAAACATACCTGGAGCAGCATCGACAACGGGTAGCACTTTTTAAAGTTCTGGTTGGTGAGGAGGGAGTTGATGAAGCGAGGACAGGACGCGCCGTCGTTGCTGGTAAAGTTGAAGGCGAGACTGGTGTCGAAAGGCGACGGCAGGGGTGAGGCTGAGTCCACAGTCGCAGCAGGCACCGTGACGGAAACGGTGAGCGTAGTCGAGGCGGCAGTAGCTGACGCCTTGTCGGTGGTGCTAGGCGTCAACGTGATGCCCTCGTCGTCTCGCTTCTTGAGTTCGTCGTGACCGGGCGGAACCATGGTCCACCGACCCTTGATCATCGTAGGCGTGCGGTCGTCAATAACGAGGGCGTCCATGGGAGGAAGCACTGCGGGGGCAGTGATCTGAGCGGGAAGGACTTCCAGCACGGGTTCGGAGCCGGCCAACACCACCGAGGCAATGGTGAGGCATAGGAAAAGCCACAGTGACCGTGGCCTGGTCATGGATGACAACGACTTGATGGCCATCATGGGAATACTGCGACACGCAGGTTGGCAAGACCAATCATAATCTTGTCCCTCTTGCAGCGGTTCTGACGAGTCGAGAAGAGCTGTCCTCGACGATGGAGTTTTGATGGGGTAGAAAAAGGCAATTATTGCTGGTGTTTGCCGAGAGAACCCCACGTTGGATCGGCGCTGAATGTCTCTAGCCGGTGATCGACCAGATCACGCACGCGATGGTGGATATATTATAGCACCAAGGAAAAACAAGGTCACCACTCCACTGGCTGCACGGGTGGAACACTTTTGCGGTCGGGGTTGTGTTGATGCAGATTCGACTACCAATGAAGGCGACGGTGAGGAAGTGCGGTTAAACGAATGGAATCGGTCCAAATGGCCGAAAATATGACGGGTCGACGATGCTGCAGTCGACGAGAAGACTTTGAGAGACTGGTCGCGTCCACAATTGGGGTAATTCGGGACAGTTGAGGTCAAGTCGAACGAGGTCCAGTTGCTTCCAAGCTTGCAATTTTTGTCGTTCGCCGATAGGTGGGCCGTAGCACTCGATAGCTTGTTCAGAAGTTGCCCGCCGTGGTCGAGTCGTCGAGACGATCAGCTCTGTCGGATCTGGTCTGGCGAAGGGGCAAGACGAGGCAAGGTGAGGCTCTTGGAAGGCGGCGACGATCCCTGGCTCTGGCTGGGGGGGATGACGAGGTTAAGAAGGAGCAACGAGTGGACGAGCGCGGGTGAGATGGGACGGGATGGATGGTCGATTTGGGGGGGAAGCTGGCAGCAATATTGGCTTGGCTTGGCTCGCTCGCGTGGTGGGAGGCGCGCACACTTGGTCGGCCGGACAGGGTAGCAGGGATCCAGGGGATGTTGGATGGCGACGGTGCCAGTGAAGTGGGCTTGAACTTGCGGCTTTGGGGGCCCAAAACGTAGTCGCGTAAAAATCCTGGGTACGGTGTGACTAGTGCGCAGTAGTGTAGGTAGGAAGTACTTTGAAATTGTATGGCAGCAAAACAAAAGACAACCTGCTGCATTATTCACGGGCAGCTCCTGTTCGGGTTCAGGTGGATTGTGAACGGGCTTCTTCAGTGGAGCGTGTGCGATGCATGGACGGCAGCTGGGGGGTCCAGGTCGGGCTGGGTCGTATTCTCGCAGCAGCGACAGGGTGGAGTCATGGGCGACGGCGACGGTTGAGCCTGGAGGACGAGGTGCATGTTGGCTCCGCCGAGGGAGACGGAGACCTGGTTCTGCCCTGAGAACTTGGTGAGTGAGCACTTGGGCTGGTTCGTGGGCCATGGGTCCAGCAAAACATCAGAGAACGAACCGGCCACCCTTGGCAGGGACAGGGGAAGGAGGCAGGGGTAACTCCGACCGGGAAGGGGAAGGTCCAAGGAGGAGATTTGGCGTCAAGCCACTCAGCCAGCAGGAACCAATATTTACGCCTGCCGCCCTCCTGACCAGTCCAATGGAACCGTCACCTGGGTCACCACCACCAGAAGGCGCGCACTTGCACCTGTGCCTGCCTACACTCGATCCTCTGCACCTGCCTATGCACTTTATCCGTCCCGCATCCACAACAGCAACTGCCAACCACAACAGACCTGCATCTGCGTCTGCACCCCGCTTGTCTGGTGAGGTCGGGTGCTCACGAGAGCGCGGGTCGCTAGGTACCTACCTTACGTAGGCAACTACAGGTAGGGCGCTCGCAGTACGTACCTAATCAATCCATGGAAGGTGGATGTATCCCGGTCGAAGCTTGAGTCTTGGGCCACTGGACTGACAGGTTTCGCTTCCTTGAACTTGTGGGTTGACATCGCAACGTCGGCTTTGGGATCCGCTAAGAAAAGCAACTCTTCAATTTCATGTGCCGGGCGGGAGTCCGGGATACTTCGAAAGTATCCGTAGTGTATGGATACAGAGTACACGGAGCATTGAAGTGAGCTTGAATAAACACAAAAGTCTGATAGTTCATCGCATATAGGCAGGTAGGGAGATAGCGGAAAACAAAGGGAAAACAACCTTATCAACTCGCAATCTCAAGCCTCGACCAACCGGACTGCCCCGGGAGGGTATCCTGTGTCGTATCAGCCCAGGCATAGACCGTACTTCGTCGTGAACTATCCGTACGTTTCTCTGGTAGCGTTGCAGCGATTATGTACGGGATGCCTCGATGGATAAGACGGAACGAGGTCGTCTTGATGCGAACGAGGTTTCCCACACTGCGTTTCTACATACACCGTAAGGTAGTGACCACTGACAGTGAGGGTAAGCGTTTGGATGGGCGGCTGACTGAACATGCCAGCAAGTGGTCTAGAACGGCGGGCATTGCAGGGTAGCAACGAGGGATGAGCAGCTACGGCCATCGATTGGCACCGGCTTGGAACGGGCAGCACGTCAGACTGGATTATTGTCTCTGATGCGAGGCCGGATCTGTGGTTCTGGTTCACTAACTGCGTGTGTGTCCGCATTTCGAGCCAAGGCAGGCGGGAGATGACCACCTCAGTGTCCCTATTGGGAATCCCCTCCCCTGCAAGTGTTGACTTGCTATGTGCGTCTCTTGGGGTCCCGACTTTTGAAGTCCCTCGTCTGGGCTTGGTGCGGCGTGCGGTGTGCGGCGTGCGCATTGCGTTCCAATGTCCGGCTCGCGGTGCTGCGCCTGGAGTTGTGGGGGCCATATGCTCGTCTGTCTTCAGGTGAGAGCCCACATGGTTGATCTTCTCTCTCACCTGGCACAATTCTTTCGACAAGCATTCGCGTTTCTATTTCCAGTCTGTCGTCACTCGCCAACAGCCCGCAGAAGCTGTTGTACTCCGTACCGACAACTTGTATGCTGCAGACCCCAGAAAGAGAGCAACATACCCCTCGCGGCGGGACGAGCGAATGACGGAATGCAAACGAGGGCCCACCGCCTGGCATTATCCAGATGAACGTGCATGCACATCCATCTCGTGTGCATCGCCAAGAAGAGGGATTTTGTGAAATGTTGGCAGGAGCAATTAATTGACCTGTCCTGTACGGGCAGATGCAAAAAGCCAATCATGTACGATGTCGGTTCTGGAAAAGGGGCCAAGGTGGACTCTGCAGATTGGTTACCAGTGCTTTGCCCACCCCCACAAAACGAAAAACACCAGAAAGTTGCTGCAATGGCAAGCACCAGACGAACACGTTGGCCCATCCTTCCTTCCTCGTGCAG